GAAAGAGGAAACATGGAGATGCATGAGATCCACAATCGAACGAGTAATCTGTGAATCAGCAGAAGCTTCTGGGCTCTCAGTGACGGTCAGTCCGTTTGTATGAGGAGAGGTGTGGCCGCCATGATGTCACCATTGGTCACTTCCTGTTAGCCCCCGTGTACAGCAGGGGGCAGCAGTCCAATAAAACCAGAGCTCAACACATTTTACTTTAGTTGTTATCCAACATGGATAACGTGTCACAGCTGAAATAAACTGACTTTAGTGAATGAAGCTGTTTTTGACTCAGCAACACCAGCGTCCTGCTAACTGCGTGCTGATTGGTCGGTTAAGGCTTTAGGACAGGATGTTCTCCGCTTCCAAAGATAACTCCAGCAAACAGCAGCGTCGCTAAAGCGCCTCATGGTGCTGTGACGTAAAGCAGAATCTAGAACTCCAGCTACCTTTGAACCCTCTTATCACAAAATCCCCAGAAGAAAGATTTTTACTCCAAATTGAGATTTTAGCTCTACAGCGCCAAACCTGTAGCCCCACCCACAGTTATCCCTCTTTAATCGGCCTTTCTGACTCCAACAGACTGCAGACCAACGACTGAGACCAGAAACTCCTCAGCAAAGATCAAATCAAAGCTCAGCAGAGCGGCCTCCGACCTGCGTCTTTGCCCCCTGCTGGACGGTAGAAGGAATGCAGCTTTAAGCCACTTTGCACCGTCTGTGCGTCTCAGACACAAACGCTAAATCTATTCAAACTCAGCCACCGGTTCCCATCAGACTGACATCAGACGCTCCACAGAATACGTGACAGCTCAAAGGTCGGTGAAAACGACTTCTGATCTATACATTTATTGATTTATAGACTCTGTGCTGGACTGCATCATCTGCATGCAGAGAGGCGATCTCTTCGCTGACAGCTGTTCCAAATGGCGGAGCCGTGCCTCGTTATCCACACGGCTGCAGTTTGAAGGGAAGACTGTAGAAGCTACAGGCCAAACCGGGACGGCGCTCGGAGGAATGCCTCAGCATCCCGTCACAGTAAGATTTGGCAGCGGTGACAGAGGATGCAAAGCCTGAGCGGCGGCGTCAAACACCACCCTGAGACGTTAACGTGTCGCGCACGAGCCTGCACAGATTCTCAATGTTTAATTTCAGATGCTGAAACGGCCACAGTGGAGGCAGGGAGACGTCCGAGGCAGAGGAAGGACGGCCGTTGGCGGGACGGTGTCACAGAGACAAAGAAGCGGCGTGCAGATGGAGCCGCTTCATTCCTGCAGAGCTGGGCTGGACCTGAATAATCCTGTGGGTCATTCATCGTTTCTTTGATAGAAATGATGCATGCGTGCTCAGTTTGTTCCCACAGGAGATTTTTCCACTCTGGAGAGCCAAATAAAGTCAGGCCGTGTGACGCCAGCTCGGCGCTGACACCGGCAGCTTCCAGAGATGAAACACCACATCCACCCGGGACGTTCCCTCCCCTCAGCGTTCCCTGGATGCTCCACTTGTCTCGAGGAGACGTTTCCACAAACCGCGTTTTGTTTTTAATGTATTTACTTTAACTAAGCTTCACACTTTAAGCAGCTTTTGGATTCTCGTCCTCTCAGACGCATTAAGCACTCCTCGCCACCCACGCACGAATTAGGAGACGCGCTTCCTGCCATTTATCGCTCACTCGGTCCAATTATCATTCGTCTCATGACTTCCAGCTCGCTCTGTTTGCCTGTGTTTACCTTCCTCTCCAGAACTACTGACATCATTCATGCAGATGCAGCTTCAGCATCAGCGAGACCGTAAAAATGTTTTCAAGCACATAATAAAAATTCAGTTAGATCATAACAATCTGAGAAGAGTCGTGGAAACACTCAGGAAAGGAGCTTCGGTGCTTCCTTTACCGCCTGCTTTAACGGTGGAGAGGTTTTCCAGCTTCAGGAACCACGTCACCGTCGTCCACGCTCACATTATGAACACGCCCTCTCGTTTCAGCTCCTGACTTTACGACATTTTCCATGGAGCTTAAGCTGCAGCCCTGTTGCCTCCAGACCAACCTGATCACTGCATATCATGATATTCATGTACATTAGATAGCCGCTGATATGAGACATGCACAGTATAGTAAACCTGCATTTTGAAAACTTCCTGTCCTGGGAAAGCGTCCCTGTCCACTGTCTGTGTCCACAGGCAGGCGGCGTAAACACTCACCTTCGCTGTGAACGTATATCCAGGCTGACAGGATTTGCCTGGTGCTGTTGATGAAGGTCTGGCATCTGTAGCGGCCCGCGAACTTCCCCTGGAGCGTGCTGACTTCCAGCACACGACCTCCCACCAGCATCCTGTGCTGCAGACCCTGACCCGGACCGGGATCTGGGGAGTGAGCCGGAGCCGGAACCTCCTTCAGGGTCCGGTTGTTGTACTCCCAGCGCACAGGCGGCTTGTGGTCGGAAACCACCGGACAGCCTGCGACAGGCAGGAGCAGAAAGAATGTATGTATTTAAAATTATAACGCAGAAAATGCTAAACAGGAACTCCATCAAGTTCAGACACTAATGCAGCGCTAATGGAGGAAAGAAATCCATCTGAGGGGAGCGCGCTGCTTAATGTGAGAGCAGCTCAGCGATGGGAGGCGGCTCGACCTTGTTATTCAGCAGACTCAGACCGGAGCTGTGACTGAGATCTTCTCCTTAACTTTAAATCCGATAAAATCTAAAGATAAGGACGATTTTATTCTGACACTGAACCAGTTTTCAGTTCTTTAATAAAAGCCTGTGAAGCCACCTTTCCAAACTTCACCCTTTATATTAACAAACAGCAAATCCAATCCGTGTGAGGATGTCGTGGTTTTGTCTCCTATATTTATCTGGTCATCACATTAAAGGTCAGTCTGCGGCTCCGGGCACAGGATGTTGTCTTCGTTGGTTATCATGTGAGAAACCGGCCGTGACTGTGACAGCAGAGGTGAGTAAAGCGTACCTATGCGCAGGACGTCTCCAGGTTTGATGAAGACGCTCGTGCCGCGCCGTGACGCCATGAGGACTCTCCTCCTGCTCAGCTCCTGAGACGCTGGAAGCACCCGGCTCCCTCCGGCTGGATCTGCACACACAAACGTTACTCCACGTGACCCAACGCGAGCGATTATGGCGAGAGGTCGGCTTTATGTGTGAACCCACCGTGGACCTTCAGGACTGTGGAGGCGGTCGACTTTCCTATGGCGTTGGTGGCGGCGCAGGAGTAGGTGCCCTGGTTGTGCACGGAAACGTTTCGGATCCACAGCGAGCCAGACGGCAGGGAGACGGCGCCGGCGTCCAACAGCCCGTCCTTCCTGTGCCACAGCACCGTGGGGCGAGGAACACCTGACAGACGGAGAAAGGAGCGTTAAAAATGTAACAACAACAGAAAAGGGCAAACATGGTGAGATGAATCCTGACGCTGCAGGGAATTTGGAGGAAGAAGAACGTGTTGCTTCCTGTTTAAAGGGAGTTTTTCTTTCCCGCTGCTGCCAGGGCTCCTCTGATTGTTGTATTATTGCATGATCTTATTACAAATGCCATTCAATCAAAGTATTTGGACGGCGTTTGACTGATGCAGTATTTATCATGACGAGGACGAGCTGGCGACACAGTTATGGAGTCAGGATGTAGAGAAACACTGCTGCTCTGTCAGAGGAGGAGCAGAGTCCGGCCTGAAGCTGAGCGCGATCCCTGACGTGAATCTGAAATCAAACTCTGGCTGAACTTCACACGGCTTCACTTCCTGCGTCTGAACAGCGGCTGATGTGAAGCGAGGATCAGCGTGAGAGTCTGCAGAGCCCACAGGCTCTCTGTGCTCCTCGGTGTGTCGGGGTCAGACCCCACGCTGCTCTCGCCGTGGATTCCTGCGAATCGACTTCCACAAGCGTTCCCTGTTTAGCGGCACAGCTCTGCAGGAGAAGCGCTTCTTTTCCTTTTTTGACACAGATATCACGACGTGTTTTCCCAGTCTCTGTGATGCTTACACCCCAACACACCACGAACACTCCACTTGGACTCGCCGCCTTTTCAAACACCCCCAAATAAATGTAGGCAGAAATAATTAGCATGCAGTAATTAAAGCAGTACTTCTGTTTACTTGTGAAAATTAGAAGCATAAACGAGTCATGAAATGTTAATTTTATGCACAGAATATATATACGGCATATTAAGGTGACATACTTAAAGGGTCTGGAGTCCCAGCTGAGACGAGCAGAGACAGATAACTTCCTGTGCATGCAGAGCTGCACGGAACAAGAACGGAGAAGGGGAAAGAAAAATGTTGATTTAGCCTGAAACACGTGTGTCACGTGCAGAGATACACAGCTCCTGCAGAGCTGCAGCTCAGCAAGAGCAGGTTGTCCCACACTTTGAGCCGCATGTACAGGAAGTCTCTGAGAACTCTGTGACCACACCCACCTTTGAGTGGCACGCCGACCTGCAGCTCACACTGAGGCTGAGCCGGAATTACCTGACGATGATGACGATGATGGTTCTCAGCTGCAGGTTGGACTGTTCAGGTCCAGTTGGAGAAATTTTCTGGAAGGAGTCGAGCGGGAGATTGACGGACGGATCGATGCGGCGTCTGCTGTCACGTTGCTGATTTGTTTTCTTGAGTCTGACGGTGAAGCTGTCGACTGATTGGTCAGCCTACGCTCCCACTCGCACCTTAAATGATCTGACACTCTGGGTGGAAACTGACAGAAAAAAGCTCGAGGACAGAAGCAGACCAACTTCCTGTGACGAGCGCCTGGCCGAGGAGCTGCTGCTCCTCCAAAAGGAGCCAGCTGAGGCGGTTCAGCCATCTGACAAAGATACCTCGTGGAGGTGAGACGCTCATGTCTCCCAGCTGGCTTGGGAACATTGGGAACATTGGGAACATTGGGAACATTGGGAAATGTCCCACTGGAGGAGGTGGCTGGGTATCTCTGCTTACACTGCTGCCCTGCCACCCAGGTGGTTGGGAGAAGATGAGTGAACACTGCTTGTTGCAGAATCAGGATCATGAAAATAAGAGTGTTTGTCTGGGAATCTTCCAGCTACAAGCTAAAGGAGCAAACCTCTGATGGAACGAAGGAACTGCAGCTCGGCTCACAGCTCTTTAACTCTCGTGTGTCTTCATTAGAGTCAGTGTGGACAAAGGCAGGAGGCAGCTCAGACCGTGTGCACTGGATAACTGGTCGAACAGGATTTCAGCTTCCAGCTGCAGCAGCAGCGTACGAGCTGATCAGGACTTGGACACAGCTCAGAGTTAAGTCTCTCAGCACTTCATATATTGAGGTGAGTGAGGTGAACTCCTGAAGTGAGGCGTCCAAACGTGACTCTCACTCTTAGATCAGACAGCTATGAACACCCAGCTGCCAACAGGAGAATGCTCTGATTTTCCAAGATGTCACTCTCCATTACAGACTTCACTTCACCCAATCAGATGAAAAATTACTTTCAATCTGGTTTATCTCACCGCTTCATACTGCTGACACACACACAACACACCACACACACAACACACAACAACACACACACACACACACACACACACACACACACAGCTGATATCATGTCAGCTCTCAGTGCGGTAACCTTTTGTAACCAGCTCCACATAAACTGTTTGATCAGACGTTTTCATCACTCTGTGATTGGATGAGATGAGAGAAGCAGCAGTCAGTGTGTATACATTTAGATGAGTGTGTGTGTGTTACTGATGTTGTGGGGACCTAAATCTGTGTCTGCAGGCCTTTATGAGGACGTTCGTTATCTGCACAGGAAGTAAACCTTTGCGTCTTTCTGCTTTGTCTGTGGTGGTGAGACGAGAGGCGGAGCCTGCTGTGCGTTCACGTTTCTGCTTCATGCACAGACTTCACACACAATAACATAACAACATCGTTTTATAGATACAGCAGACCATCTTTTTCATTGAATTATGTGCTGTAGATGCTAAATAAAGGCCAAGAAAACAGGACGCCGGGGTTTTTGAGATTGGATATGCAGACCTTTGATTTGTGTGGTATCGTGACCTACCACTGACGGGACAGTCCACAGTGAGGTTGGCGCCTGGACGAATGCTGATTTGTCCTCCGACAGTGGCTGTCAAGCTGTGGCCCAGCATCCCCCCGTGGTCTGAGACGTTCCTCCAGGACACCGCGATGGCCGGAGGCTCTGAAGATTCACACAAACTGCATCAGCCACTGAGCTCCCATCACATCCTCCCGTACCCTTAATGACAGTATATATCAATAAAGTCGTGATTCGACAACCATTAGAAGAGTCTCCAGGTTTTTCCAAGGATACCTAGATGAGCAGAGACCACGACTAACCTCTGATGTAAAAACATCTATTTCGCCTCAAATATCCCAGAAACTCCTCATTTCAGAAAAGACGTTCATCAGTTACTTCTAGTCGGCTTTCGAGGGTAAAGAGTCCAGATTTGTGATGAACCTCAGACAAACTGTGTCCAGCACTGCAGCCCGTCCATGTAAGTGTCAGACAGTGGTGACAAAGTGAAGTTGTACTACATTCAAAGTTCACTGTAAATGACACGGAGGCTGGTTAGACACAGGAAATGACATCACTGTGTCATCGGCATAGAAATGGCATTTTGCACTTTTGGGTTTAATCACTCACTTTCCTCAGAGAGTAACTTTAACGTCCGCGTGGAAGTTCAGTGAATTCATTATTAGACCCGATCGCCTTGTGTCAAAATGCAAAATAAACTCACCCGCTGCACATTCAATATTATTTCCTGTTAACCTTCTGATTGTCTGGACATAATCAGAATAAGAAAATATCAGAAAGTGATTCAACTGTTATTTCTTGTGCCAACAGATCAGCTTCCCGAACTTCAGGCTGATTATTTTGCGATCAGTGCTGCAGCTTTACTGGATACAAACATTCCTGAATGAACATGAATCAATCTGGAAGAATACCCCCCCCAAAAAGCTAAAAGAATTTGTTTGTGATTCCAGGACTGTATAAATCATTAAACCCACCACCCGGGTTTGTTTGCAGTCATGGAGCAGGCTGAGACGGAGCCACAGCTTTGTGTTCCTGTAGATCGCAAGTGGAAAATAATCCCTCACACACGACACCAGTGGAAAAGAAGAACTGGGTTCATGTTGTGAACAAACACAGCTGTTCCACACTCTTTTCTGCAGGCTGAGTAAGACGGTGAAATCTGTAAACGTATATATTTATAAATCCATTTATTACCGCGTGCTCACAGACAAAGCAGGCCGGGATTGATATTCATCAACATAGTTAAGAAAAGCCACGAGGGAAATTACAAAACCTCCACTGGAACTGGAGAAGATGTGCATACAAATGCAACCTTACGTGAGACGAGTGAACTGCAACAAAGAGCACACCTGCCAGCAGCAGCTGGGAAGCCTCCGAGTCTGAGCCCAGCGCGTTGGCAGCGGCGCACCTGTACTGGCCTCTGTCAGACGCTCTCAGCTGCAGGATGTGGAGGCCCGCTCGATCCCAGGACACCCTGCGGACACACGAGGAAAACATTTTTACTTTTTACCCAACTCATGCCAACAAGGAGAACACGGCTTCCTCATATTCCCGTACTTCTTTCAAAGTGGGGCAGCTAAAACGGGCGAAGAGTCTCCGCTGAGGGACTGGTGAATAATTTTGGATACAGAGGAACTTTGTTGAGCTGTAGATGAGGAGATCATCACCCAAACACAGAGAAACACAAGGAAGAAACTGCAAGTGCTATTTTATTGTTCACAGAAGAAGCCTGTAGCTCTCTAACATTTTAAACCTGACGTTTTTTTTTTTTGCAAAGCCAGGTGTCGTTATATTAACACAAACGTCGCACCTTTGTTCCCCCTCCCGCCCACAACCTCAGAGTGATGTCACACCTTGAATATGCCATCAGAATAAAATCGCTGTCAGAGAATGTAACATTTTAACAAATGTGAAAAATGTAACATTTTAACAAATGTGAAAAATGTAACATTTTAACAAGTGTGAAAAATGTAACATTTTAACAAATGTGAAAAATGTAACATTTTAACAAATGTGAAAAATGTAACATTTTAACAAGTGTAAATGTAACAAATGTTTGAGGCGGCGCACAAACAGACAGAGCTGTGCAGAGAACTTCTGTAAGAGTTTATTATTTGTAGCAGCAGGTTAAAAAATCTTTCAGGTACTAGGTTCATCTTCTCATAACAGAAGCAACTACATACAAGAATCACTGAGAGGAGATTCATTAGAGGCTTCGTTATGCAGTAAGAGTCTGTCAGACAGCTGTCAGCTACAACGTGAGGAGATACGAGTGCGTCGCTACGTACAGGTGGGCTTTAGACTAAAACAACACCCCTCCCCTGTAAGGGGAGCAAACAGCACCGGGCCAAAAGAACCAGAGAGCTGTCCACGTCGCCGGGCTCAGCGTCTTCCAACTGTAGGCCTGAGGAGTGACACACAACACGCTCACAAAGCTAAGCTTTGCAGCAGTACAGTTACTAGAGAGATATTTGAAACCGACAGTGCTACAGCGCACACACACACTCTGATGTGCTGCAGCCTTTTAAAACTGCTCTGCAGCTCTGTATTCCAGACAGCAGTGATTTGCATGTAGATCAGGCACTCATAACTGTTCTCCTTCACTGCAACGGCAGAGACGTACTTGTTCTTTGATCTGCGTCTCCGCCGTAATAACACAGACGTGAACTTTTCACTGAGGAATAAAAGAAATAAATGCTGCAGACCCGGTAAATCTGATAAAAGTCCTTTTTAAAAGGTCAGTCAGCAGCACAGCGTGATGCAGAGCTAACTTCAGCTGTTATCACGCTCAGCTCGCTCCACAGTTTCAGCACTTTGATAAAACTCAGTCAAGGGTGGCTGCAGAACATTGTGTTTTCCTCTGCAGCCCACAGGTCTTGTAAATGTCAATCAAGTGTCCGTCTCACTCGGGCGTTCAGATTCCCGACCGTCCTCAGAGCTTCTTTCTCTCGCGCTCGGATTAAAAGAACCGTCTGACATTTTTGGAAATGTGTTTGTTTACCGGCTTACCCGGCATCAAATCGGAAAATCAATAGCAATTTCATCTCAGCGCATCTTACAGACAAGTTCAGGACGTGATTAAAAGCAGCTAGGCGCCACAGCAGGGAGGCGGAGGCTAGCACCACCTGTCGTGGCTTGTTTCCTCCTTAAATCACTTAAATAAACAGGAACACGAGGACTCCTCTCATACTGAAACTAGCAAATATCAAAGCGTTTCTTTTAGATTTGCTCTCAATGTACAGACATGAAACTGATACTGATTTTCTTTATCTGACTCATTGTGCTGAAAATCTCTAAGGAAGAGATGAGCAAGAGGAGAAGAAAATGATGAAGACCTCAGGAGACAGTCAGACCAGTTCAGTGGAAAAGCCTCGGCCATCTCTCCACAGCAGCTCGTTCGTTTTACAAAACTGGGTTTTCAGCTCATCAGGTCACAAAATGATCAGACTGCAGCCACGAAACACAGAACTGTTGCTGAACTAACGTCCCCCAGACATGAAAGGTCAAAGGGTTTGTGCCATTACCATCACTGCCAGAGGGGGCGTCAAAGATTCCACACTATGGGCTTAATCAATACGATGAGGTTAAATCGTTTGCATATCACAGGGGAAAGTTGCTACAGAAACACGGAGTGAAAAAACGATTTAAACATAAGCTTTCGAACTGTTTGCTGCCACGTTTTTTGGACTTTTATCAAGACATTAATCAATAATCCATCCTGCACACTTTGCAGAACCAATCAGTGGCATGATTTGGACCAGGCCAGTTCAGCGGGTTTAAACCTGACTCATGACGACAGCGGCACAGGGCCGGCGAGCTCGGAGGATCAAGAAGAGGTCGTGTTGTGTAACGCATCGGGGCAGAAACGCTCGGTCGTGCTGTGATTGGCAGCTCCTGCTCCCACGCATGGGCTCCGTCGCAGTGAGTCGCAGCTCGCAAACCTCCATCTGCATTTCACAAGTTCCAGTTAAGAAAATCGAATGTGTTTTTGAAAAGGGTGGGCTGACACGGACGAAACTATACGAGTGCAAAATGCGTGGTCATCCTGCTTCATCGATATTCATTGGACCAGAGCCACTCAGTGAGGTTTCACATCCAAACACTGCATCGTAACACGGCCTGTTAAAATGAGCATCACGGCTCAAAGTCAATAAACCCACTGATAAAATGTGCCGGCTCACCTCATGTGCCAAAACTTTCATCTGTGGAGGGACCGACTTTATAAATCAGTGAACAGAATAAATGATTCACAGCATTCTCTCATTTTACTTTCTCAACCCGTGAGGCTGGAAACAGCGGTCAGACTCACACACGGCTCCGACCACCTCAAACTGAACGTCTGACCTAAATGTTTGATATCCATGACTTAAAGGCTACAACTAATTAAAAATAGCACAAGGACAGCACAGTGGTACAGTGGTGGCCTCACAGCTAGAAGGTCCAGTTCCACCATCAGCCCACATGTGGAGTTTGCGTGGGTTCTCTCCGGTACTCCAGCTTCCTCCCACAGTCCAAAGACATGCAGTTAGTGGAGTTGGGTTAATGGCTCATTCTAAATTGTCCCGGGTGTACCCCGCCTCTCGCCCTAAAACAGCTGGATAAATCCAAGAGGATGGATGCATAACAAAAAGACTAAATACCAGCTTCTTGTAACAAATACGTGATCATTTTTACCTAAAAAGTAGAAGTAGTGGAAGACAAATGTTTTGTCTGACAGCTGAGCCTTCGACCACAGATTAGACAGAGTTACAGACACATCAGCAAAAACCTGAACGAGGTTCAAACTCGTTCAATGTTCTGCACACCTGATAAAGGCGATAGTTGGGTCGGTGATGTGGCGTTTTGCTGAAGCCTCCTTCAGTCATGCTGCTGGGTCCTCCCACAATGCACCAGCAATTCTCCTCTGTACTGCTTACAAGAGGTATCGTGGTCACGTGCTCAAACCTTTGATCAGAACTGATAAATGACTTCCTGTCAGGCTCAGAGACGGCACTCTTTAAATAAACAAGCAGAACTAATCGGGAAAGCTGTGACTAGCCTGGTGTAGAAGCTCATACCATCGACCGAGGCGGTGTCAGTAGTAATTATGACTGCTAGTTAACACCGACTGATTGTGGAAGTGAAAAACACGCATTCAGCCTCTTTCAAAGACTTCCTGGGGAGTCACTGAGAACCAGGGGCATCAGCAAAGCAGCAAACATGTGGGAAGGCCGGGGAGATCCACCGGTGTAATTAGCTTCCCAATTAATTCACTGTGAATATTTCCAGGCTTCATCTGTTGCAGCTGGAAAAGATCACAAAGAGAAACATGAGCTGTAGCTAATTAACAGAGTGAGGAGGAGGAGAGCAGCTAACACGCTGCAGTTGGAGAAGTGATGAGGGGCAGCGAACGCAAAGATACAGGAGCAGGGCAGGTGAGGGAAGCTGCTTCCTCATCTCTGTTCCTCTCTGCTGTGACTCTGACTGACTGCACGAGCTAAATACACCCAGAACTGGACCCTGGAGGCAGCATCGTGCCAGTAAATCACAGGAAAACTCAACAAGCTCAAAGTGCTGTTTGAAGGAAAAAAACCCTGTAACACGTTCTCATGTTGGATGCTTTCAATTCTGAGAAGTGGGAAACACTAGACTTTATTTTGAAAAGCCAGCAAATCTGTATGCTCCTTTTGTCACCTTAAGTCTTTTATTTTGACATTTTAGGAAACATCAATGTGTCCTTTGACTCTCTGCAGACTTTAATTTTGAAACTCAGACACATCATGAGCCTGTAGCATATGCTACCTACCGTTTGGGAAATCCTTAAAACTGTCATTAAAATTTGACACACACCTCAAATAGGCTCATTTTACCATGCAGACGCTTTTATTTTTGGATAAAGGTAAACATCAATAGTTCACATTTATTGTCCTGTGGGTTTTATTTTGAAAAGCAGATTCTTACAAACTGGAAAGCATCCTGTTAACTTGCTGTAAATAACTTGGAGCTTATATTTTGAATTTGTGAGCCACTCCGAGCATCTTGTGACTTCCTGAAGCAAACACGAAGCTTCCAGAATTCACTCAAATTAAAAAATATCACATGATAAATAAATCATGTCAACGATTAGTCAGAATCAGACTGACTGGCCTGTCAGCTGGCGCAGCTCTGCTACCTGTCAGAGTGCTGCAGCAGAGCTCCATCTTTGCTCCAGCTGATTTTGGGAGGTGGGGATCCCTCCGCAGGGCACCGGATGGTCAGCGACCGTGTGGCGTTGGTGAGGAGCGCGCTGTGTCCGATACTGATGTCGATGTTCTTCTGAAAGGTGGGTGGGACGCTCTGCTGCTGTCTGATGATCGCTGGTCTCTTTGCTACCGTCTCCAGTGGAGAGTGCTCGGACCAGTTGGGCAGTCGGTCTGTGGACGGACCAGGAAGCAAAAAGAAAAAAGGTTATCCTGAGAAAGGAGGCCGAGGAAGGTCAGCCGATGACACGGAGAGACGCCTGATGGGGTTGCATCAGCAATCACAACAAACACGGAGCACTTTATTAGGAACACCTTCATACCTGCAGTGCAGTTCAATCAGTCGTGTAGATAAACGTCAGGAAGTTCACATCAAGCCTCAGAATCACTGAAAATGTTTCTGGCAGGATGAGTGTTGGTGCCAGACGAGCTGACCGCAGTCTGGTACTGATGATCTCACCGCAGCAACCCACCCACTGAACAACTAACCTCTTTCCTTCTCACCTTCCTTTAGTCCCTTTTTCCTTCAATCGTCTTTCCTGCTCCCTTGTTCTTTGTTTTTTTTCCTTTCTATCGACAAACTTTCATCACATTGCTTTTTAATGAAAGACATGAAAAAGTGTTGGAAGAAAGACAGCGCCTGCACAGTGTGGTCGGCTGGGTCTCTGCTTACCTTTAGCTTGTCCTCCTCTCCTCGTGGTTCTGGTCCAGAGCTGGGCAGGAGACATGTGTGTCAGCAGGGAGGAGATGAGCTCTGAGGCCTGCTCCTGCTGGATCTCTCCTCTATCAGCCTGCAGCGTGACATTGATCAGTCTCTCCTCCACCCGTGGCTGCAGGGAGGCCTCCTGTCCGCCAGCGGGCACCAGAGAAACCCGGGCCCCAGGTCGGGTCGTCTTCAGGACTGAGTCGTGGCTGTAGCAGCTGGGCAGCATCTCCTCCCAGTCGGGACCGGGAGCAGGCGGTCTACCCGCCGACCTGCCGTCACCGCCTATCAGCTGGAGAGTGAAAATGTCTGAGGCGGGTCCTGCCACACATTTGTACACCCCGGTGTCCTCTGGCTCCAGGAACTGGATCTTCAGAGAGCCGGACTTGGTGACGCCCAGGCGCTGGGAGCTGGGTAAGGCGCTGCCATCTTTGAGCCAGCGGATGTAGGCTTTGGGGAACCTTCTGACGGGGCATTTGATGACCACAGAGGTGTTGGGTAAAAGATAGGCGTGGCCACCAACGGTCAGGTGGAGACGCCTCTCTTTACGGGTCTGGATGTAGATGTTGTGCGTGCTAATGAGAGCGGGACACTGTTTGATCCCCTCCTCGTAGCCTCTAGTCTTTGCAGGGCGTCTCACCGGCTGCTTGACCTGGTTCTTCACAGCGGCTTTTCGCGAGTCTTTGGGTCTCATCTGCTTCTTGTGCTCTGTTAGGAATCAAAGAGAGACGACATTTCTTCTCAATACTGTGAATATTTTCAACATTTTTCAACATAATAAAAGTTTAAAGTTTGAGAAACTTCAGAGGAACAATTCATCTCTTTTAGAGGTCACCACAGTGGATCAGCTGCCTCCACCTGCTCCACCCTCCTGTCACACCAACCCTCTCCATGTCCTCATTCACTACATCCATGAACCTCCTCCGTGTCTTCCTCTTTTCCTCCACCCTGGCAGCTCCATCTTCTGTCCAACACATCCACCATCCAGGGCAATATTTCCTCTCCCACTAAAAGCTGAAATGCTGCTGTACCTGTTCTGGTTCCAACAAAGTTCATTTGACTTATTGATTTCTAATCTTTCAAGCTAATTATGGACATTTTTTTTCTTCATTTATGTTTCTACTTTGAAATGATGATGAAATGATGTCAGTGCATGAAACAGTCGAACCAGAATAAGGACAGGTGTTTCTGTTCCTTACAGGAAGAAGCTCCTCCTTAAAATAAACCTTCAGTGACAGCTGCTGCAGTATTTTCAGGGCTCCTGGTCTTCCTCAGGTGTCTGAACATCATCTGATTTAAAGAAGCGGTAACAAGGCAACAAGAGTGGGCGACTTATCCAATGAAACCACTGACTGTATGTAAAACAGACACAGTGCAGTCAGCCGCTGGGTTTGTGACGCTGTATTTCAGCGGCTGCTGTTTGCTTGGAGCCTAACCTGATCGTGTTTGGATGTGGTGGTGGAGTGCTAAGTGAGAAACAGGTGCTGCAAATGAAATGCACTTAATCAGCTGATCATCAGCGGTGCGAGTGTCTCTGTAAAGAGCAGTTCTGACACTTTGCTGGTCTGCAGGTGTGTTAACACAACGCCAAGGAGCACAGACGCCAGCAGAGTTCTTAGACAATCAAACTTCACAATCACTTTGAGTTTCTACTGAATAAATAATGACATACATTAAGGTGTCATGTGTAATTCATCTCAGGTTATATTTTTCTGAGGACTAGAAGAAGTAGAAGGAGGTCCACCTGACAGCCACCTGCCCCTCCCATTGGCTCCTCTGCAACGAGGCGCCAGCTGTTCGCTCACAGCTTTGAGTGTTTGAGTGAGAAGCGCGAACACAAGTCCATTAGTTCAAGAGGCAGGATGTGCTCATGTCTTTGTTGGTAGATGAGAGCATTTTGAAGATGTTTGCTGCTCAGCATCCTGACTCATTCTCCGCTGCTGAACTTAGGAGTGGGAGGAGTCAGAAGTCACACCTCATGTTATGTCTAGGACACCCTTGACACGCCCCCTCGGCTGGGGGCGTAACAGGACGTCTCCAACATGAACATCATGTTGTTTTCAGCAAGACTTGAAACTAAAGACAGAAAGACGCATCTGCTGCGTCTGCATCTGCTGCGTCTGCATCTGCTGCGTCTGCATCTGCTGCGTCTGCATCTGCATGTGAAAAGTGATGTTGAAGCCTCAGTAAACAGCGACAGCCCGCCTCGGCTGGTTCATGGGGAGCTGGTAGCTTCCTTTATCTAACACCGGCGATATGTACATATGTAGTGAAGCTATTGTTGTGACTCTGACATTAATGAGTCACTCACTGAGTTTAAACTTTACTTTAACAGCTGAGTAACACTGCGCGTTACTGCGTCCTTTCAGAGGTCTTACCCAGAACCTCCGCAGTCATCTCAGTGACCCACGGTGATGAGGTATGTGTTTAGGCTCAGAGGCCCTCTGTGTTTATTTGAATTCCCGACTGTACTTGACTTAACATCGAGCAGGACGGCTAAGTGGATTCCTCAGAGCTTGCGGGGGACGCGGGTCAGGCCGCGTGACACCTCTGCGTCAGCTAAAAGCAGAGTACGTCCTAACAAGTACGAGCAGTTTGTGAGTGATGATGGTTATAAACCACGCTGATCGATGGTCATACTCAGGGCATGAGAAAATGCAAACAACACCTCCCTCTGAAAGGGACCCGGCTTTTTGCTTTACACCATTAACTCAAATAAAAGCTGTGAGCTGACGGCACAGACGCCGATACAATGAGCACGAGCAGTGAAACAGAAGAGGACATTCTGACTTTCATATTCGGTCATGCTGAGCAGGGCAGGACTCTGAAACAGTGGGCCGAGCGGCCGTGCACAGATCTACAACTGAGCGCTGAGACCGGATTCATCACATTATGTCTGCTTTGGATTTGTGACCTCAGGAAAGTCTTTTCTTTCTTTGTAGTAAAAACAACTTGGCTGCACTGAGTCCTCAGACTAGAGCACGAGTTAGCGTTTAGCACTTCCTGTTCTCATGTCCTGAAGTTCTTGGTTGTTTTTAGACAAGTGAAATATGTTCTGTGATTAAAAGAAGATCCAATCAGACCATCAGTAAAAGCCCCACTAAAGGTTTTATATGTCCCAACAGGGGTGTGTCTAAAGCAGGGCAAGGGGTGACACCCTCCCCTGAAAATATGGAGCCCCTCCATTAACACCTGTGGACTAGAGTGCTTTTTATTCTACATGTCCAACGCTGCTGGAGGAGAGCAGCAAGAGACAGAGGTGAGGTTTACAAGATGGTAGTGAGGATTGCTGTGCTGGATGGTTGGAGACGTGTCGCTGAGGAAAAGACAGGCTGAGCTGAAGATGTTCAGATGTTGATCGGGAGGGAGACAGGAAATGAGTCCATCAGAGGGACAGCTCAGAGTGGGACAGGAGGAGGTGGAGGCAGATGATCCACTGTGTAAGTTTAGCCCGTGATCAAAGAGTGGGCCTGAACACATCAGCCATCTGGGTTAAAGAGTGAAAATTATAACGAAAAACAAAATGCATTTTAAAGTTTGGTCAAAGCCCAATGTGCAGCTCAGAGTTGGCAGCTGCAGATCTGCCAGGATGCAACGCTGTGCTGCAGCTCTGCTCAGCAGGACACTTTAAAAGGATTCGGGTTATTTGGCCTGTTTGCTGCAGGCGACGTCTGCAAAAACAAAACAGGTCCTGTGGAAGATATTTCTTTATGCTCAACACGGAGAAAATATTCAACTGATGAAAAAAACTGCATGCAGCCGCATTTCAATCTACACGAGGTAACTAGGTTATAAAATATAAATGTCATTCGATCCGTGTAAAGTTCAGTCGGTCGGGAAAAGACACTCGTCAGCCTTGATAACTTTTAGCCGAGCAAAATATCACAGATCCACACGGAGGTTACCGTCCAGCCAGCAGGCTGCACACATCGCTGCGACGAATCCTTCATTTTGTTGTTGTGCACACGCAGTACGTCTTCAAGTGTTTGTGAAGAAAGAGCCTCGATCACGTGCTTCATCTCTAACACTGAGCCCGGCCGTCGTCCTTTAAACTGGCTCCGCCTCTGTCGCCTGACCACGACGCCGCACCTCTGCCCTTAGTTCGGGGAGACACCAGCAGATTCAGACGCACCACGAGGACAGGAAGCCCGCCCTCGATTTCCAGCAGACGTTAGATGATACTGTAGTTGATGCTGTCAGGATGCTGCTGCTGCTCGCTTCACGCCCCAAATCAAAAATGGAGGATGCTGCGAAGCGGCTCGTGGTGCTGCGATGTCTCTGATACTGCCAGAAAGGTTTTTCATGACATCAGAAACCTGTCAAACATCTACAAACAGGATGATTACACGGCTTGTTTAACGGCTCTTTGCTAAAATGTCGTGGAGTTCATCACCTGACAGAGTCAGACTGTCTACACTTGACAGGACACAGACGACCTTTAACAGCTCGTGAAGGATTCTTTGGAGCGCTGGGTGCTTTTCTCCTGATCCGCCTCTGATGATCAAACAAACGATTAGTGAGACTGGCCTCCCGCTGATCCAGCGTAGCGCTGACAAATCCCCACCCCCGTCCTGTGTGACAGATATCACAGCTCGCAATGTTTCCAACTGCCGTCACTTTCTCTAACCATACGGTGACTGAACGTTTGTTACAGCTGCAGCGAGGCCGGCTGGACCAAAGTCTGCAGGATGGGAGCATTGACATGCAAATTCATTTGCAGTAGTTTCACAGCTGGCATCCCGGCTCTCTGCAGCACAAGCTTCCCTCCTCAGTGAGCTGCAGCGACCACGGCGGCAGCACCGGGTCTCAGCATGTCTCTCTCTGCTTTTCCTCCAATTCTTTCCATTCAATTATTAAACACATTGAAATTAATGAGAGGGGGAATTACGGCAGTTGCAACTTGCATGCTCCACGTTTTGAGGTTTCTGTCAGCAAACAGAGTTCAGAGTTGTTCCAAAACCATTTTTAGATCGTCCCGTTTGAGTTTGAGCTTCTTCTTCTCGGGTGGTGATTCAAGCAGGCGCACAAGTTCTGGGCAGAACTGCTCAACCGTCAGACGAGCACCTCTGAAGCAGCCGACGGCTGATTTGCACTAAAGCGTCGTTTCAGCACGGCGTGATCGCACGCAGGACGTGAACATCTGTGCCGGGCGACACACTGAGAGAAGATGCATGTCTGCACGATCACCATCACTGTCTGAGAGTTCAAACGGGACGCTGTCAGGTGTGAGTCTGCCCATAAAGTCACCTGCTTTGACTCGAACACATCTCCTCTGCATCGCGTCCACACAGCTGCTGCCGTTACATCGCTCGTGGTTCTTATCTTCTAAACTGACCTGAGGTCTGTGTGAAGGAGCCGTGTGTTTGGTTCCCTGCTCAGCTGCTTGCATCTCTCCTTTCTCATCCCTGACCAAAATAAAGAAAATAAACAACCTGAACAATATGAAGAACATTATCTGTCCGTGTGTTCCTACAGGCTGAAACGCAGGAATCATTCTCTACGAGAGGAAGACGTTTAACAGGCAGCTGTTACGTATTCTGTTGTTATTGATGGTGCTCCAGTTACAGTAAAAGCAATAAAAAACAGAGTGAAGGTCATATTCACTGAAACAAAATGTCACGTATTCACTAAATGTCCCACCCTCTAGTTTACATGGAAATATAATCTCTCCCTCCCTGCAGAGGAAAGTCAGAGAGCTCATTAGAGCAGCTCGTTTTCATAGTGCTGGGCTGTTTGTTCAGTTCTTCCCTAAAAACTCAGAAGAATATTATAAGCAACAATTCCACACACAAAAGGAAACATTCCCACACACAGTAGCAGGTTTTCCTGTCAGCACCCTGCGGCCAGTCTGAAAAAATGCAAAACGTCCGTCAGATCTAACAGAAGCAACGAGAGTCGGTTAAATCACCAACAAATCTCGCGGCACAGATGTGTGGGAGCTTTTTCTGTGGCCCTGCTCTCAGATGAGAGCGGCAGCAGTCTGTCTGGTCCTCTCATCAAGTTAAGAACATGTAGAGTTTAAGGCTTCTGAGGCGGGCGGTGCAAAAAGCTTTGGTGAGCGCCACGTCGTGCCAGTCTTATTCACCAGATCTACTGCAACTTCGTTCACGCCTGAGCAGATCCAGGAACAACGGCGAAGAAGAGAGATCTGAAAAGAGCAGAAGCTGTCCGTGCACACCTGAGAAGATGATCTCTAAAAGGAGGACGGCCATGTTTGAATCAGGTAAGGTTTATTTATATGAGCTGATTCTCAGAACTCCTTAAACATTTCATACATGACCTCATGTTTATATCGAGTCACCTCGAGCATCTGTCTGCTCTGAAGACACCGGGACTCTTCCACTGACCCGGCCTCGGCCTTCGTTCTGATTAGGCGGTAATATCCGAGGCGGCAGCTGGAAAAAACATTTCCTGAAACACACGTGGACTCTCAGGACTCACTGTGACATTTGCGAGGCATTAAGTCACGTGTTGTGCAGCGTGCGGGCGAGTCGAGTCGCGGAGGATTAGAAAAACAGATCAAACGGTGACTCTGATGTTGGACCAACACCGAGGCATTTATTTCACACAGACGTCAGCGAGCGGCGTCTCCTGCAGCTTGGCCGCAGTCATCACGTGAAGTCATCGGCACTCACTGAGCAGCTGCTGAACCCGATGCGTGATTTTCACATAGGCTTCCCACACAGCATACGTGCACGCATATGGCAAAGCACAGCACGCTGTGTTAGCGTGAAGATTGGCCAGTCCGAGTTCCCTTCAAGCATTCAGAGAGTAAACACGATGGCCTGATACACCGCACGGGGCCGGGGGTGTAAACACTGCTCAGAGGCCCGAGGGTGAGACTGTTTCACCAAGCTGTAATCTGCCATGTCCCAGCGACAGTCCTCCTCACAGAGCGTTTATATCACAATAAACAACATCCATCCACCCTTTTCTGTCCGGGTGGTGGAGGGGCTGGACACCATCCCAGCTGCCACATCAGGTTCTCACATCACCAGTTGACCTGTTTGGCTCTGATGCACACACGAGGACGACACGCAAACACCACGCAGAAAGCCTCTGGGCAGATGGTGGATTCAAACCCAGGACCTCGAGCTACCCACGGTCCTCATACATGAAAAACATATTCCACCTGACCCGTCACAATCAGCTGATTTATATTAAAGGAAGCACTGACAAATCTAACCTTCGTACTGAGATATCAGCATGCTTTCAGAGTTTCAGGCCCTGTACGTAGAGGGGGGTAAAATTCAGCATCATCTGTGGATACTGGAGATATTTTGATGTGGCAGAAATCACGGCAAGAAGCAAAGAAAAACACATCTACTGATCAGATGGATGGCGGTTCAATCCCTGACTCTGGTCAGATACCAAAGTGTCCTTCAGCAAGACACTGAGCCCAGAGTTGCTCCCGATGCGTTCACTGAGTGTTACACAGAAAGCACTTACACACTTAGACACAAACTCCTTCTGTGAAAGTCAGACACATGAACAGGTTGCTGGTGTACCTGAGGCTTCTGTTTAAGACTACCGTCACCCAGCCATCCTGTTACCCAGCTGCTCAGGTCAGTCTGCCGGGGGACAGCTAGCGGGGCCTACGCTACCACCGGCTACAGGGGCCTGGCTAGCTAAGGGTTTTTCAGTGGTGCGAATCCGAGTCTCCCATTCAGTGATGCTGGCCTCCAGAGCTGCAAATAGACTACATTTATAACAAGTATCATTACTGCTAAAGGAGGTCGAGGAGTAACTAAACACCTGACACAATGAGCAGGAGGGACAGGTGAAAAGGCCATGCTGCTAGCGAGCCGGCTAAGCTAAGCTAAGCTAAGCTAAGCTAAGCTAAGCTAAGCTAAGCTAAGCTAAGCTAAGCTAGCCGAACCCTGTCACTGTAAATTAGTGAGTGAACACACAGCGTGGGCTTCGGATGAAGCACCTGAAGATTAGACTATGAAATAAGAAGTTATCTGTAAGTTTTTAATTAAACTGACTACACAAAAACACAACTGTGTTGGAACAGGAACAGGAAGTGATACGCAGAGAGAGCGAACACCAAGTGACAGCGCCACCTAAAGGAGACCACCAAAAGAGCGGTTCCGCGCACTCTGTGTATGAATGGGTGAATGAGGTTTGTTGAGTGCTCATCTAGAGCAGTAAAGCGCCGTCTAATAACCAGTCTATGTGAATTAAAGTGACTGATGTAACTGGCGTATCACCTGCCTTTGCCCAAGTCAAAGCAGGTGAAACAGCCTGAACACGAGTGTGTGCATGTAATAAATGTGCATTAAATCAGGCATCAAACCCAGTGTCCCGCACAGATGGTCACAGGAAAAGTGTCTTTTCCACAGGACGGACGTGTTTGTGTGCTCTTACTGGGACAGGCCATCATGCGGCAGGTTCGTACGAGCGGCGGGGACGGTAAACCCGAGCACTGCTCCCTCGCCACCGTCACCTGACGGCCCGCCGCCGTCAGCTGGAGGCACAGCAGCTCCCGGCGCTGGATCCCCAAACCGCAGGACACGGAGCACTGCAGAGGAACGTTAGACACGTCAGAAAGGTTCATGACAGATCTGCAGGACCCCGGCTGGGTCACGCTGGCTGATTCTCCTGTCAGGTGTGGTTAAAGTGAGGGAAGAAGGAATTTATTCATTGGAATATTTGATATGCCCGGCACATTACTGTCCTATATTACTGTCCATAGATAGTTTAATGAAGGTGGTAACATATGCCCTGTAGAGAGAATAGACTCAGATTCTATTATTTTATTCCATTGAGCTGGCAGAATAGAGCTGGTTTGTGAGTGTAAGGCTAATGTTGGTCCTTCTCTGTTAACATTATATAACTTTAGGTTGTTGCACAGTGAGAAATGGTTCATGTTATAAAGTTACATTATGAGTTTTAGAAAGTTGGTACCAGGTGTGTGTTTTCCCCCCAGTAGGCGGGCGTCAGGTATACTGGTGTAGGAGCTTCAGTACATATCGAGCTCAGCACACCCACATCTGGCTCTAGTTACCCCAAACATCTGCAATCAGATGGTTTTCAGTGGCCCAGTCTACCTGTCAGTGTGTTAGCATAAATAAAGTGGGAGGATACAGCAAAACCTGAAATCATGAAAAAGTGACTGATTTGTTCCTGGACTCAGATTTGTACTTTTTTGGCAGAGAGCACTTCTTTGAAGCTGGTGCTGTTTTATTGGCCTGAAACAGTTTTGTCCCAGCTGTTATAGTTCATCTGGTTAAGCTATAGCAAACTGTTCACATGTCTGTTCCATTTATTCATTTTTAATGTGAATCGGTGTATTTATGTGTTTATAATTTGTTGCCTTTCTTGTTCTTTAAGTTCTTTCCTCCCGTTTATTTTCTTTCCGCTCGCTGTCTGAGTTTGATGTCTGCAGAACGGTTGCCTGCTTCTCTAACTGCAAAACAAATCTACCTGAGGGGCTGAACCTGAACCAGCCTGGCTCTTCAGCAGGAATGTGTTACCATGGCAACCACCAAAATTGATTTGTAAAAAAAAATCAAAACGTATTGACCATATTTTAACTCGAATCACTGAAATACCGAGGCAAGCAGCTTCAAGTTACTCGACTTCCTGCTATCACTGAGACACAGGAAGGCAGCTGTAGGTTTTCTCTAACAGCAAGCACAGGAAACAGGCAGGAATATAACGCTGACGTGCAAATTTCATGTACGGAGAAAAAGCTCAGGGTCCTTTTTTAGGATGACATCACTATATCAAGGTTTGCAAGCAAACAAGCAAAGGGTATTTTTCTTACCAGTACTCGTGAAGAAAAGACAAAGACCACATGTGATGGTTTCATGCTTAATGGTCTTGTCTCTCCAAAACAAGCTCCAGGCTGGGTTTGTGAGTACTAACCCTGCTCGCCTGCACAGACCTCTGGTTGGTCAGGCCTGCCTCTAAGCACGCTTCCTGCCCATCCACTGCACTCTGATTCCTGCTGAAGCTGTTTAATCTAACTCTAATTAAAGACACTGGCAGTACAATCCAGCTGCAGCTTAAATCAGACGTTGCACAATATGAAAAAACAATGACATTTCTGCACTGTGTGCTCACCTTTCCCCATTCTCCTCCTGCTGTGTAGGGCACACAGTCCATATTGCCACAGCCTCTGTTTGTAGCGGGCTTGGTTACCTGGCAGGCGTCGTCCCCCAGCCGCCTGTAGGCCCCCGTGGACAGGAGCTGCTTACAGTACACCTTCCGCACCTGAACACCATCACCACAGGTCTGGGAGCACTGGAGGGAGGAAGCAGAAGAAGAGCGAGGAGGTAGAAAGACAGGGCATTAATCACCCTCCGTACACACACGCTCAGAAAGTCCGTACCTGCTGCCAAGCCTCGGTCTCCCAGGCTGGAGGACAGTCCACCTGGTTGCAGGGCTGCAGGATGGCAGGTCGGAAATCCGTGCACGCGTCCTCTGAAATAGTCTGAATATCTTGCTGGTCGACGGACAAAAGACGCATGCAAAACACGCTCCTGGTCTGTATGCCGACACCGCAGGACGCAGAGCAGCCCGTCCACGCCGTCACCTCCCACCTGGCGAGAGAGACGGAGCTTCAGACAGCAAAAGAGGCGAGCTCAATCCTTGAAGCAACAGAATTAATCAAAGGATTAAAAGACGCCTCTGTGTCACCTTGTAAAAGTATGATCAAACACACTAGAATACTCAGGTACTGCAAATAAAGAGACGAGAGGCTTCAGGTATGTTGGCATCTCATGTGGGGGAGATGAAACACTCTCACTCTGTCCAGCATCATTTTTAGGTGCCGTTAATCACGATGCAGAGCCGTGCTGCGCGTCGGTTATGTAAAACATGTCTGATGTTGCATCAGCTGAGCACTCAAACAAAACTTCACAGATGTGTTGTGTTATGATGCATGCACCGCACGCATACAGCACGCTGCAGGTGAACAACAAGCTTGTTCCTCATAAATCTGCTCTGTGCAGTCAGAAGATCTGTAACTGCATGGACGGTGCTGAAGAGCCAATCAACAGCCAGACCAGAAACCTATGAGCCAATCATGTGGTTGCACTGATGCACAGGCTCACAGCAGTTTCAACTGTGTGGCGGGAGGCGTGACAGTCAGTGCTCAGGTGGGAGGAGCCAGAGGCTTTGGACTGAAGCCCCACCCGCCTCATTTTTAGTGTGTGAGGGGCAGCCAAACAAAATTGGCATAAAGGTAGGATGACTATGAAGGGGGAGGAGCTAAACCAAATTATACCAGACAGAGGATGAACTGAGGGGCTGCACTGAGGCCAGCATCAGATAAAGAAGGATTACTTTGAACTGTGAATCATGCAAAGCAAAGTCCATGAATCCAAATGTTGAGCCAGACATGAACAGAATATATCTGCTTGAATTTCTCACACAGAAACTTTCTTTAAAAGACTTTTATTCATCTGTGCCGTGACTAACTCCATTCACAGTTTGATGACCTCGGCTTTTCATGTGTCTTGCCAGACATTGCACTATTCGCCTCATTTTAACTTCAGACAGATCTCTCTCTCCACACGCTGCCCGAAAACTGTGATTCTCTTAATAAAGCTGAACGACCTCTTTAAGGAGGTTTCTCTATAATTAACAGGACCTGACAAACTAATTAAAACCCCATCTGACGCTGACAGCAGTTATCTCAGAAGATGTGAGAGTAACACAAGCAAAAACTAATTGAAATGTCGCATGCATAATGATGTGGAACGCAGTGTAAATGTATGCATTTTCTATAACTGTAATAACACATTTAAAAAAGTCGTCACACTGTTTTGTGTAGAGATAATGAGCTCAGTAACATCTGGGCTTTTGCTTGGTTGACCTGATGATTTATCAGTTTGTGTCTTTTTCAAGCTCTTCTGTGTGCTTTGGCGCAGCAGGAAGAGATTTAGTTTAGTGTTGAGTTTTGCTTTGCTTCTCTCATGTCGCTGCACTGATGACTCGATTGGGAAACCCTGAGGAACCGGAGCGGGTTTACACCCAGATCCCAGTTACCCACGAGCGTCAGTACTGAGCTCAGAAAGAGTGATACCTGTGTGACATGCTCCTGTGATCAGGTAACTTCTAAGATTCAGTTTTTCTCAACCACCAAATCCACACGTGTGGGGAAAGTGGAGTCAGCAACATGCCCACTGTGGGCCATCGGAGCAGCTTTGATCAGCAAGCATCACCTGAGTTGGGGAGAAGCCAAGTTGTACACTCCGCCGCAGGCATCCTGTCCTCAACATGGGACTAACAGCTATTAAGAGACTACGAGCGGCAAAGTTCCTTAAACACATCGTGACAACCAGCCTGAGACCAAGTCCTGTGCAAAACCACCAAACCATTAGACAAGCTGAACTGTCAGCTTGGAAAGGAAGCTCACCAAGAGTGAGCGACTGGTCAGGGGTTGTCAGTAAGCCAGATGGACAGCCCAGCCAGGTGAGGGACCAACCAGGGGAGGGCCCAACCAGGGGAGGGACCAACCAGGGGAGGGACCAACAAGGTGAGGGACCAACAAGGTGAGGGACCAACCAGGGGAGGGCCCAACCAGGGGAGGGCCCAACCAGGGGAGGGACCAACCAGGGGAGGGACCAACAAGGTGAGGGACCAACCAGGGGAGGGCCCAACAAGGTGAGGGACCAACAAGGTGAGGGACCAACCAGGGGAGGGCCCAACCAGGGGAGGGCCCAGCATTGTGGAGCCTGATTGGCATTTGTGTTCATTGGGCTTCCTGCTGCTTTCCTGGAGGATGAAGGAACTGATCCATTAACTTCCCCCCACGTCCACCTGACCTAAATCCAACAACACCTCTGGGATGTTATGTTTCCTCAGACCCGGAGCTCAGTGATGCTCCGGTCCAGATCTGGGAGGACACCATCTGTTGTCACATTAGGAGCATGCCCTGACATTATCAGGCTTATACACAAGCTCCCGGGGCCCTAAAAACTACTGAGTATCATTTTGAGCTGCTGCAATGACATATGAACAAATGTGACTCGCCTGCTGCATCATTTTTTCAGCCCTCTGTATTTTGATTATTCACATTCCCAGGTCCATATCAGTAAAGATATCCCGCATGATTGTTTTCACGTTGAGGACTCACGTGTTTTCAAAGTGTTCCTTTATTTTTTCATCACTGTATTTTTCACTTCACAGATAATGTTTTGAGCTGCTGGTCTCAGTTATTTGCTGCACAAAAACCCCAACAAGGACAAGGCTGCATAATCCACTCTCACTGTGTGGGATACAAGATTATTCCCAAATGTCCGACCTGACTGCTGACGGCGGTGGACCACAAACTACACACCGACCTCATACAGAGCGCAGGTGTCTTTATGGTGTTCTTTCAGTTCACAAGGTCAGAGAAACCACAGGGAGAGACACGAATCCCAGCTGAGGAGAATGATGTATAGCAGTCACATGCACAGGCTGAGTGGGAGAGAGTTATAGACACAGCAGAAGAGGGAATAGGGGAGGTTCTCCACCTCCCCGCGCTCTCGCTGCTGGACTCCCAAACTCAGGCAGCGGGCTACACCCCGGGAGTGAGGGGTATTACTCATGTTGTAGGGACCTAAATCTGTTCACACAATCATGTTATGAGCAGAAAAAGCAAGTCAGCAAAACATAAATCATCACATTTTAATGTGAAGACATATTTTAAGGTTAAGGTAAGTCTCCGAATGAATCTATGATGCACCGTCCTCTGAAATCGTGTGTGTGTGTGTGTGTGTGTGTGTGTGTGTGTGCGCGCGCCTGCACTCTGCAGCTGCTTCCTGTAAATGTCCATTAGAGGAGGAGGGAGAGATAAATCACTGCGTGTGAATCAGTTTGTAAGACTACTGGACGGGCAAACATCCATCCGGTGCCTGGAAATGTGCTGGAAACTTACAGCTCACACACCCACTCACGCTGCTGGCTGAATATCAGGAGCACATTACGCTTGTTGGGATTCAGAAAACGGGTCATAATCAGAATATGTAATCAAAGTGTAAAACTGAGAACAATGTGAAGCAGATTTGTGTGTTTGAGATGTGTTTTTGGCTTCATCCTCTCACTAATGTTACAACAAACACATGTGAAGGCTTCTAACTGATGGATATACAGGATATACTGTGAGGCCACTGTGTGCTCATCATTTCCTGTGCTTAATGGCACTTTGGCAGAGCTGGACTTTGCTTACTCCATGTGTAAGGCTGTTGAAAACAGTGCAGCGCAGGCTCAGGTTGGTGCTGCTGGTGTGATGATGTAGAGCAGCGGTCCCTAACCCCCGGGCCAAAGACCGGGCCGTGGGAGCTGAGGCTCGGTGTCAAATGTACAGTTTTCAGGGTTTTTATCCTTAACTCGGTTTCCCTGGGTCTTTCCCGTGTTGTAGCTGTGCGTCTTATTTTGAAAGAAATATTTACACGTTACCATAGCGACCAGAGAGCATTAAGGGGCAGAGAGGAGGGTGCATTTACATGTACACACAGGAATATGTATGTAAATACACACACGTTTGTGCTCAGACAAAACAAAAATAGAAAATACATAAAATAAAATAGTCTGACATGAAATTACAATGATTAAGTCTGAAATGGAGTAGGAAGAAGTATAACATGTGTATTGGTTCTATTGAATCCCACTGTTCATTGTTACCCCTGATTCCCGTCATCACTTACCCCACACAGCAAACAAGAATGAAGGACATGTATTAACATAGCTACAGTGATAGATAGCATAGTTACATAAACAATGGCTGATCAACTTTATCAGTTTCACATTCTTCCAAAAGCAGTTTTCGAAACATCTTTATGAGCCGACTAATGCTTGAACATTGCTGTAGGTCCACAGTTTTACCCCACAAACAGCAACACAAAAGGTTTTAACCTTTGTCCGAGTCTTCAGGTTTAATTTTCCCCTCAATTCATAGCCCCCTTCTCTGTCAAAAACATCCTCTGTTCATTTCCTGGTAACATATTGTATCTGGCTTTGTACATAATTTTTGCAGTTTTATACTTTACAAGATCCATAAACGTCAGAATTTTTAATTTCAAGAACGTAATGTTAGTGTGCTCTCTAAATCCTGCTTCAGTAATCATCCTGATTGCTTTTTTAATAATGGTTGAAGTGAAGTTTGGTGTGCATTTCCCAGATTTCCACACAGTAAATATGCCAAATATGGCAGTGTAAGTGTACAGTAAAGTACCTGGAGTGATTTGGAAGGCAAAAAATGTTTAGCTTGTATATGCTTCATGTGAGGTTTCCAGCAGATTTTGTCGTCTATTATCACACCGGGAAATTTTGGATGAGAAACTTACTTCAACATTATTTATCAACAATTTCGCTCCAGCATCTTTTTTACAGTTTCCAAACAACATAAATGTAGTTTTATTCAAATAAACTGAAAACTTGTTTCTGTCAAACCTTGTTTTCAGTTTAATCATTTCTTGTGTGACAAAAAAAGCCGCTGTGAATTCTCTCCAGCACAAACAATATTTGTACCATCTGCAAATAAAATAACCTGTAATATATCAGATGTTTTACATATATCATTGATGCACAGGATAAACAGCTTTGGCCCCAACACTGACCCCTGTGGAACTCCACAAACAATCTCCAGGCACTCTGATATTCACCAGGCTTCACAAATTGTTGCCTGTCTCTCAAATAACTCCTGACCCACTCTAGCACCACTCCTCTAATGTCACAATACTCCAGCTTATCAATAGTTCATGATTGTGTCAGAAGCTTTTTTTAGGTCAATGAAAACACCAACTGTCTTTGATCTGTATTATTGGTGATATTTTCAACTAGTTCCATTAAAGCCATGGATGTCTGAAACCACACCGACTGTCCATTATTATTTTGTGTTTATCTATAAATTTGTCAAGTCTATTAATGAAAACTTTTTCCAGTATTTTTGAAAATTGTGAAAGTGAATTTGTGTCTATCTCCCTTTTAAACTGTGGTATTACTTTAGCTGTTTTCATTTGTGTTGGGACTGCAGCAGTTTGTAGAGACAAATTGCAAATGTATGTTAAAGGTTTGGAGACGCCATTGATAACTTTCTTAACGATTTCCATATCAATGTCATCAAAGTCTGTAGACCTGTTTGTTTGTGATTTCCCAACAACATCAATGATTTCCTTTTCTTCTGAACAACATTGAATGAGGATTACGTTCAATGAGTTGATTTCAAGAGGAAGCTGCTAATAAAGTTACACAGTGAATTTGCGTTTATTATAAAGGCGAATCCACAGTTTTTGTCTTGGTCGCATCCTTTTATCTTGTTGTATTTATCTACAGCACCTTAAAGGCCGGTCTGTGACATTAAACCGGTCGGTGGCGCAGAAAGGTCGGGGGCCGCTGATGTAGAGGCTGAGCCTCCCTCAGCCGGTTATGATGCTTCAATAGATTCTCAGGAATATGAGAACAAAGACCTGCAAACATCCATCGTGACTGTCGACGGATGCTGAGGCAGCTCTGGCTCCTGCGTCACATGTTCGATGCTCTGTGGGAATTTACAGTAAAGCGCGACTGTGTGTGTTTAATATTCAACAGTAAATAACTGACGTGTCTTTGGGTTGATACAGCATGTGTGCGCCAACACACTGTGTTATGTAATTATGTTGCTCTGACATCAGCAGGAGCGTCCCTCGGTGCTCAGCAGCCACGCAGCCTGCCGGTGTTCCCGGACGCTTCACCGCAGCCCGGCCGTCTTATTGTGTTTATTCAGTAAACACGGCGATCACATCGGCCCGCAAACCCTCGCTGCACTCCCGGCTCTAATCCACGTCTTCATCTGAGCTTTCCTCTACTGAGCTTAAAACAAGAACGAGCTTCGGTTTCAAAGTAAGCGAGCATCATCTCACTCTCTGTTCTTCTGAAATCAGACCGTACGCAGAGCGCCCGGCGCCTCGTCCACAGGGTTGCGGTGGTGATTCAGAGACGGGCTGGCACAGCCTTATCTCCTCCGTCAGTCTAGACTGCTGACATCAGCGTTCCACCCTCTCTGCTTTCACATCTCATTAAGGCGCAGCGAAGAAAATCGAGCCAAATGTTGGAACGCACAAATACACAAATTTGTACCAAGTTTCATGCTTTGGAACGTTTTCCATGAAGCACGTGGAGTTAAAAACTCGCCCTCGTTCGTTTCAACACATCTGTGTGAAGCTGATCAGTCGCACCGACGGATCCATCCTGGTACAGGTCACAGAGGCTGCAGGTGCCTGGAGGTGGTTTATGGATCCAGCTGACAGACCACCTGAATGTGTTGTGACAGCCTTACACTGGGTTTTAAGGTTTTAAATGTGCAGTAGGCATTTGAGCTGTTTGACCTGAGACATCGTTTCCATCATCATCACAGGCTCTGAAAATGACTTTAAAGCCAGAGGTCTATGAGGAGGGCGCGGCGTCTTATCTGTCTGATCTACATGTTCAGATCCTGTCGCCTGTGTAAACATGACTGTCTGTGGCAGGAATCCAGCATCATCATCTGTTCAGGTTGGATAACTGGTGCAGTTAACGTATCTTCACTGAAACACGGTCACGTTTCGGCTAACGGAGGCTCTGCTGTTTATGTACCCGTCGCCATGGTGAATCCTCGTAGCGCAGCTCCACTGATGATGGCACACTTTCATGCACAGACACACAAAGTCGACTGGATGAGTTTCCTGTCGTTCCTGTCCCTGAACTGGGAGCTGATGCAGTGGGAGTTTGTTAAAGCAGCTTTCTGGAGACGTTCCCTGGATCCCAGCTTTGACTGAACCAGCCTCCGGACTTTATCAGCTCAATAAAAGCTTCATTGTTGTTGCTCCGCCTTCATTTTTGGAGCTTCTTTCAACATCACACCAGAATTAACTGATCGGAACAACAAAACTCGTCACTGTGATATTTCGAGGCAGAATGCAACAAACCACAAGTTTCACGTGAATCTGTATTTGAATGAAACAGGATAAAATACTGAAGTCGCTGCATTTTATATGAAGTCAGAGGTCAGTGTGGAGAAATATGACTGTAAACTGTTAGTGGAGGCTCGTGACCCTGTTAAAGATGGAGCCGAAGGAACCGCCCACCCTCACACATGAACACACACCCTTCACATGTACAGTAATGATTTAACTAACACCGATCAGTGTGTATGGTGTGTGTGTCTAATCCTACTGATGTCTGTGACCAGGCTCTTTACTGCAGAGTCAAATCTGTCTTTGGTTGTTGGAAAGCGCGTGGCTTCAATAATGCACACACTGTTTGTGGAAGTCATAAAATTGAAATCAGAAAGGTTTTCCAGAAACTCTTCTCTGTGAGCCAATAGGAGCCCAGCAGGTGATGTGAGCCTGCATTGGATATTCTGCTCAAAGGCTGACCGGCAGCCAAGCGCACAAATTACAGAGGACAGAAAATTCAGCTGTAAACACTCCAGCGCGTCGCAGAGGCCAAGGCTGTGGTTATTTCTGCTCGAGAGCGTCTGCTGGTGAAAAGAGACACTGGCTCCTCTGATTATTCATCTCCATCAAACGTCGACATCTAGCAGCTCGAGAGCTTAAAGACAGAACTGCATCTTATGGTTTTGATGTGAGCAACACTCGCTGTTCACATGATGACATCTGTGAAAAAAAAGGTTTTCTTGCCATTTTCCTGAAGATACTTTTTATAAGGGACAGAGTATCCTACATAAACTGCCATCCCTGCTGAACCTTTGCCCACGTATGCAGAGCAGAGCTGACAGATGAAGCAAACACACGGAAATCCCCCAAAGCTGCAGTTCCACTAATGTCCAGCAGAGGGTGTTTACAGCCTGATGCACATAGTGTTTGGTCTCTATACACAAGGCTGCACATAAGTGGTCTGCAGGTGCACACTCAACATCTTTAAGAGTTCTAAACAAATGTCTGTCCTCCTCCAGAAAATCTTATGTACACAAACGCGCGTTGCAACGTCTTATCTGGTGCGCGTCTTTTATTTTGACAGCGAATGTGCACCTGCAGAGCACTTATGTGCAGCCCTGTCTATAGACAGTGTCCCCCTTCGTAACACCTGTATAGGGGGGAGAATGTTTTTGTAACACAGCTGTTTTGTATTAAGGCTTAATGTTTGCATTATTAGGGGCGTGGCCTGACACAGGCAGCTGTAGCTGCTAGTACAGCTATTAAAAAGCAACCCCGCCCTTCTTCCTTGACAGAAGAAACACTAATATTCATGCTTGTGATGCACAAATGCTTCAGCTTTCAGCCCCATCGCTGCATTCTGCTCATGCAGACTGTGAGCTTTCTCCGTGTCTTCGGTGACCTTGCGGTCTCTTACCTTGGGGGGCACGGCTCAGGGTTACAGATGCGGATCATTACCGACGGCCTGCTGGATGGATCGCACAGAGCGTCGTCCACCTCCTCATCTTGCTTCCTGTTCACACACCTCACCACTGCTATCTGCTTGCCTGGGCAGAGGAAATACAGAAAAATGTTTAGAAGAAGCATCAGCATTTCAGCTGCGAGCATCCGATCGGCAAACCTCACCGGCAGCACACGTGGCCGAGCAGGCAGTGAAGCCTCTGAAGTCCCAGCTGTGCAGGTCGTCAGCCTGGAACAAAGGAGCACCGTGGTCTCGGACTGCGGTGGCTCTGGTACACGGCCCGTGGTTGCAGGGCCTCTCCAGCTGGGGCCTGTCCCCGCCACACTCCTCCTCTGGAAGGTCCACCTCCGTCTTGGTGAAAGTGAGCAGCACCTGACATTTCACCTCACGAGTTTGCCTGCCAGGGCCGCAGGTGGTGCTGCAGGGGGACCAGGGCCCGGGTATGAATCTGCACAGGACGAGAGCAAAAGTCTCCAATAAGTCCTTCGGTGGTGACGTCACGTGGTCACTTCAATGTCTGCAAAGCTCATTTCCAAACTTTTTTTTGTTACGAGCTTAGCTTTATTTATTCATTTAACATTTTTAGAGTGTGATGAATATTTTATTTGCACCAAAGACATCACAGTTAACTAAAGATAAACGTCTTTGGCTTGAATGGACGTTTGCTGGGTGACCACTTACATGTGTGACTGCTATAATCATGCTTACATATGTGTGTTGAGACAAATGTGCTCATCATCCTGATATTTCTGGTCACTCTCAACATTTTTAAGCAAAAATAGAAGATAAATTAAATTAGCACACCCACTCTAAACCCACCTTTAAAACCTGAATAACTGATTTGCCAGACGTCCACAGATTGTTTTTCAGGATTGTTTTGTCTGCGTATTTGTACATATTTCAAATATAAAAGTGTGTTTTCACCATTCCTACACGACAACATGTACGTGTTGTTTCCGTGTCATTGCGTGTTGTATGGTGAGATCATTCGCTTGAGCCTCTCGACTGTAGGCCGTGACATCACCGTGACATCACCCACTGGAGAGTGGAGCCTCGGGCGGAGCATTTACATCGTTGCCAGCAAACGGGACGTGATGAGCGAGGACGCCGCTCACTCATTGGCTAACAACATGCGGTTGACATGCTGTTTTCCAGAGGGGGCGCCCCCTGCTGGCCACTACAGATAATGCAGGTTTGAGGTACTTGGAGGAAAAGCAGCAGTAAAGGGAGCTTGTTGCTGGGCGGGAACTTTGGGCCAATAAAGAAATGGAAAATTCCCGAGAGGATATGTTTCTGATAAATTCAACATTAAGTTTTACGTTTCTATAACTGTGACTCAGCTGTGATATGAAGGTTGTGGTATCGTAGCTTCCATATCGAATCCATGAATATCGTGTTGAGTTTCTTTTTTGAATTTCACATTGTCCAACCTCCAAAGATTCATCAATAACGCCTGTCGAAGTGAACGATAGTCACAGATCCCAGAGCGAAGCCTGAGTTTGAAAATCATTTGCAGGAAAAATAAAGCATTGGAAGTGATTCCCCTTTTTTCACTCTGCAGTCATTTATGGAATCAAGTGAACGTGTAAAACCGGCACACACAACTCTGTCTATGCGCAGCAGATAATATGATGGACAAACACACCGTCGTGCTGAGGAAACAGCCAACGCCGCTGCTGCCTGGCAGTAAAGCGAAGAATAATAACTGGAGCTGCTGACTGACAGATGCACAGCAGCAAATGTGCGACCGTGAGCTTGTTAAGACAAATAAGCAGAGAGATACGTTCCCTGGAGGTCAGACTCTCAGCTCCCTGGAGGGGAGGTGGCATATATTTAGACAGAGTTCTGTGACTGGGAGGTCGGTTAGAGCTCAGTCACCGTCTGACAGGTGAGACGGAAACGTGCAGAAATAAGGAGGGAAAATGCCGAATATAGCTGCGACCAGGCTGGATTGATAAAACCACGCCTCGTCTGCATCAACAGATCCACCGCACCGAGGCGTGACTGCAGGACTTCTGGGTAATCCTCTGACGTCTGTGGTGCGTCCCACAATTGATTTACAGGTCTGGGAGTTCATTATCTGTAATGCTAATGCTAACTAGCTTATGAAGCTGCATCCACAGACACAGTCCTGCTATTTCACCCAAGCTGGAGCTCAGACTTCCTGGACAATCTGTTAGTGCGGCTAACCTCACAGCAGCCATATAATGATCCCAAAACGGCTCCAACAGCACAAACAGTCCAGATGTGCAGCTCAGGTGAAGCCTGTGTCACCATCCACCTGTCAGTCACAGAGGCCACGCCCCTAATAATGCAAGGGTGTGGTCATGTTTATATCTATGCTGCTGTCGGATGTGCTGTGCTCAGGTGGAATGGATAAATGCAAAGAGACCCGATGAGCATCGCAGTCGGTGTTAACAGTACGTGTTTCTCCCCTTTAATATGCTTTTTGCAGCACGCGGTGTAATTACCACGTTTCCAGTATGAGCCTCGCATGCTCACCAAATTAACGCGGCTCAGATAAGATTAGCTTGGCTGCGTGTGAAGACGATTTGTTGGCGCCCGCTGAGGGCGCGTGCACGGGAGGTGTTTCAAGAGCGTGTTTGCAAAGTCTTTGATGAGCAAATGTGTGTCTGCCAAGTGTTTGAGGTGTGTGTGAGCTCAGAAAGCTGATGGATCCCAGGGAGGCTATCAGACTGACCAGACCCTGAGCAGCAGGCGATAATCACATGCTTATCATCAGCCGCGGTGGGAGAGGAAACACACCCGGACAGATTCACACAGTCCTGGTGTGTGTGTGTGTGTGTGTGTGTGTGTGTGTGTGTGTGTGTGTGTGTGTGTGTGTGTGTGTAGGATGATATACCTGCAAAGGCTTTATGCTACCTGAAAAAGAAGCGTAGACTGTGTCAGAGCGACGTGAAGCTCTTACACGGTGTTTCAAGAGTTCTGGGTTCAGGTTTTACTAAATGAAACAAACGTGCTCCTCAGTATAAAAGCTGAACTCTCATCTACAACAGCATGAGAGTATGGAGACCCCCGATCAGGCGCTCCCCATCTGCTGTAATGACAGACACAAACTCTTCTGCTAAATTCACACTGTCAGGACAAAAAGTCTAAAAATACGTTGCAGCTGTAACAGCCTCGGCTCTTCTGGGAATGCTTTCCACAACATTTCGCAGTGTGTTCATGGGAATGGTTGACCATTCTTCCAGAAGGGCATTTGTAAGGAAATTTCACAGGTGGCATCACGCTGGAGTTCACTGAGCTCCTGAGAGCGAGCCGCTCCTTCACAAATGTTTGCAGGTTTGCCCAGGAGCTTGATTTCATACACCTGTGTCCATGGATGTGATGGAACACCTGAATCGATCATTTGGATGGGTGGGTGAACACTTCTGAGGTAATAAACCTCAGAGAAACAGGCTGTGGTCTCCTCACTCTTCACTTTTCACAAACCCGAACAGTACAGCTAACAGCTAACACATGATGAAGAACACTTACTGCTGAAGAGACCGAGTGAAAGAGCACAGTTTATCCTCGTTTTACCCAACACCATACTCTGAGCTTTTGTTCTGTCACCAGTTAGCTAGCATAACCTAATGTAGGACTAGCAGTAACCCACCAACCAAGTCAGCCACCTCATGTCATGTGTGAGCGGCACGTTTTTGGAGCAGGGCTCCAGGGTCTACAGGAGGTTAACTGACCTGGATTTGGTTTAATGTGCGCATGCAGCATGATGAAAGCCACGATTCTCTATGGACGAGTATCAACAAACTAATACGTCCCGTTTTCAGTCACAGGACGTCAGAGGCTGAGTACTGAGACACAGCTGCTGTCCTGGAGGAGACAGGAGGTCTCTACACAACCTTCTGATGTCTTCTCTGTCCAGCAGCTGTAACGGGTCATAAATTACATATTGTTATAATTACATGTGTTCTAGTACCCAAACCGTCTCTTCCAACCCTGTAAAAAACACATATACTGTATATTTAGCCACCCTGATGTTCCCGATCGCGTGTTTTTAGTTCCATTATTGTCATCATGGTGTCTGTCTTTACTAGCTGCTGTAAATGTGCTGCATATGTGTTATAGGCACAGTCAATGCTAGCATGAACAGATAATTCCTGCTAGCTTGGAAGTTGGTTGCATTGGGTTGTAGGAGCTGGAGCGAGCAAGTTGGAGGTCATTCTTTCTTTTTAGCTTTCATCGTCAGACACAACCAGGAACACACCGGTTACACCAACTTAATCCAGGAGAACAATAACTTATAACCAACCTCAGGCCTGCGTGAGGATTATTTGAGGAGAAGAGTTCTCCAAACACGACTTCCTCCTGAATCACCCAAACTAAGACGGCTTTGATGAGTTCAAGGAAAAATTATTAACAAATGCTGTTAACTGAGCTTCTGCTCAAACTGCACGATTGACTCGCAGGGGTTAGACGTTCGTAGGTCACGATGCTCTGATGCAACCTGAGTGCTCAGACTGTGCGTCCATAACATGAAGCTTATAACACAAAATCTGTCGCTCGCTCTCTCTGTCTTTCACTCACACAGACACACACCACCATCAACTTTGCTAAATTGCAAATGAAAAACATTGATCAGCTGTGATTGAGCAGCATGTAGATCCAACTATTTTCACGGTTGTTGTGGTCGTGATCATTTTGTGAGGCCACATCGAAAAGGCTCGAATGAGCCAAAGTTCTACAAGCTGTGCCTCCATCGCTTGTGTCCAGATCACACGCCGCCGTGCTGCTCCGTCTTTTCACTGACACTTGTGTTTGCGTGTGCGCAGTGTGCGAGGCTGCGGTGACGCCCTCACGACGGCCGACAGGATTTCAAACAGGTTTGATTTTCTTACGACCGAACGATTGATGAGCGGGAGCTGGTCGTGAGGTGTTAATCGCTTCTCGTTATCCCACGTATGCTACACGACACACGATGAAGGCGAAACTCGGGCCGATCCCCAAAACGGTCGCACGACTCAAAAATCGGCTCAAAATGAGCCAAAAATCGCAGAGTGTGAGCCCAGCATACACAGAGAGGCTCTGCCCGGGTGGTGGGGTCGAGCTCAGGGCCTTCTTGCTGTGCTCGTGCAGCAGTGCTAATCAAACGAACTATAAAGATCAACAATGTTTTTGACCAGATTGTTATCGTGACTCTTAAATGCTTCTGATTCCTCACTGATATATTTGCTGTTATATAAATAGAACTGAAATACACACAAATGTGTGCAGTGATAAACTAGGAGAACACATCTGTCACCATGCAGCACATCTGTGCAGAGCTTTCTCTAACACACTGCTGTGATGTGCTGTAGTAACAAAGGACTGAATGAATGGAGCCACCTTTGAATGGATCAGGTGTGTGTGGGTGTGTGTGTGTGTGTGTGTGTGTGTGTGTGTGTGTGTGTTGTAAAGTTAAGATGCGTTGTGAAAGCAGCTGATAACAGCAGAGTTAATGAGGGGATGATTCGTATTTATGAATAGAAGACAAGCTGTTTATTAAAAAGCACTGAAGTGTGTTGGAGAGCAGACGATAACTCTGACAGTGTCGTATCCTGAGCTCACAGGATGTTTGCTTCTGTCTTCAAACGCATCTGAGCGACTGTCAGAATGTGTGTCTGCACTCACGTGGGGTTTTCTGTAGCGGTGTAGTGTTCCTCCAGCTCGTGGGCTTGTTTTGACCAGGGAAGCTTCGCCTCCACCGGCAGGGACTCTGACAGAGAGACAAAAAGTTAGAAAGACGTCTGACACAGCTGTTCACCATCAGCTGCTCCGAGCTCGGCCGCAGCTCAGAATTTTGTTTCTTAGGAATAAAAAGTTCAGCACTGGAAATATTTTTGCTACTGTGGTACTTTAAAAAAACTTTTTCCATTATCACAGCAACAAGTCCGTCAGACTCAGTCTCACATTAAAGGACATCTACTGACAGCTGGGAGGGAGGCCGGCCTCCAGATGGATGTTATTTAACCAAGACACACATTTCATCCTCACATTTATCTCCCGTCTCTCATAAAGTTCACAAGACAGATTTAAATATTTGCTAAAGACCCTCCTGTGCTAATCATTTTATACAGTCCACTGTACAACGAGTGTTTTCCAATTAAATCACATTTACAGCAATAATACCACACACACACACACACACACACACACACACACACACACACACACACACACACACACACACACACACACACACACACACACAGCTAATAGGCTCAGCATGACTGCCAAAGAGTCCTGAGTCACACACAGTAGAAACAAATGGAACAAAACTATTAAAACATCTCATAATGTTTGTAAAATAAACATTTAAATTTAAAATGCTTCTCAGTTGTGGTCTTAGCTTATTTAAAACACACACACACATTCTTGTTTTGCTATTTTAGTGAGGACATCTCATTGACATAATGCTTTCCCTAGCCGCTTACCCAAACCATCAAAAATGGATGCATAACCCAAACCATAACCTGTAACCCTGACACTAAAACCACATTTTGAGTCTCAGAAATACCTTCAAACTCATTATACTAACATTCAAATTTTTGGTCCCCACAAAGATGTCTAAACAGGTACACACACACACACACTGCTGTAAGTCATCAGTGTCCCACCTCTGGGCTTGTGGCAGGCCACGGGGACCAGGCAGTCCTCCTTCACGTGAGGCTTGAGTGACGGTTGGCAGCCTCCGACGTGCTGCCCGCGGTGGTCGATGCACAGAACCACTCGGTAGCGCAGCCCTCGGCCACATGTCACCGTGCACTGCGACGGGACGGTAACACACACACACGTTACCTCACAAATGAATTAACCATCTTCAGTAATTAAGGCTGCATCAAACTCTTGCTGTCAGTGAATCGAGCGCTGACTGACGCGTTGGTCACTGAGCGTTTGAACATCTCTGATCCAGAAACGCTTTAACTGCTTAGACACAGAGTCTGACCTGCCACTGCAATGGTTTGTTTTTAGACATGCACCACATCCAGTGAGACGTGTGATGTTTCTACAGAACACCCTGTTATAAATGCAAAGCAGTAGTAAACAGCGTAGTGGATGCTGCTTGGTAAATCACATAAATGTTCCCCGGTGAGGAAATCGTAAAAGATTTTGTTTTGTAACCTTACAGCAGGTTTGATTATACTTCAATAACATGTGTTGGTGTGAGTCTTACTGCAGCTGAAACCAGTTTAATAATTCAATATTTGTCATTTCCAAGTACTTCAGCGAGTGCCGGATATCAAGTTTCGACTAACATGTTAAACATCATACATGCAGAACAAAACCACCGCCAACAATATTAATAACAGGAAGTGTCAATGAATGTCCAGGGATGAAGATCGGGAGTCTGACACAGGTCACATGACTTCTATGAGCCTGCCTGTGTTAATTTATTCATTAAAAGTGGATTCATTATCACTTCATGTTCAGCTACTGAAACCACTGACCTGTGACCACTCCATGGCCACCCACTGAGGGCAGGCGAAGGTGTTGCAGATCTGTCGGGCGACAGGTCGCGGGGAGTGCGTGCACTTCCACTCATCCACCTGGGAGAACTGCCCGTGGGCGTCCTCCTCCACACACAGCACACTGCGATCCTGCCAGCCCCCATTTTCACCACAGGACACTGAGCACTGGGTCCAGGGGCCCTGCTCCCAGCTGTGCACACACAGAAGAGGCTAAATGAGTTTTATGTACCCAGATACTGAGTAAGGTGGAGGTGAGGAGGGGGCAGAACCTTCCTGCATAGAAAGAAACACCTGGAAGTGTGGAGGACGTGATTCGGCAGCGAGGTCAGCAGCACCTGTGACAGGCAGCGCACGGAGGTTATTACAGTGCTTTAAAATCACTCGACTTCAAACCAGAGAACAAAAACTCTCATATTTTTAGATCCTCTCCTTCCCCTGTCCTCGCTGCTTTCATGTCTGATCGAAAGGTCACCTTATTTCATAAAAGCTGTGAGAATAATCTTAAGTAATGATGTAATAACATTTATGCACCAACGTGGAACACGTCTGAATCCCGTTCCTTTCCCCTGGAAGCCTCGTGTGGATCAGTGCAGGCCCAGATCCGACACATCCAGGTGGGAACACGAGGGTGGGGGGAGACGGAGAGGCAGGAACGTGTCACCTGAAATACGAAGCAACTCTGACACTTTTCCACAGCTAATGTCGATTCCACTTTACACTTATGTAAGCTATAGATTCAGCACTCAGTGAGTACAAGCACCCCGTTACACTCTGTCACACAGAAAGGAGGTCAGGGACATTAACGAGGCCATTTCAGAACAATTAAGACTGCAGGACTCCGTCTCATTATGTTGTAATTAGATAAGTGCGGTGATTAACAGTCTGTCTCATTGCAAGTGGTGCATCAGCCTCGATAGACTGCAATCAATGCGCGTTCCACATCCGACGGCTTTTAGAGCTGGAAGCATCACTGCACTGCATAACTGTCTTTGTCTTTCTCCAGCTCCTTTTTCAAACCAGGCTGTCTGCAGCCACGCTCATTATGCAACCCTGCTGACAATGACAACGATGCCTAATGCAGTCCAACAAAATGCTGGAGATTCGCACACTGCACAGAGTTCAAAGGTAGGTCAAAGGTTAGAGTGGCTGATGGGTGCACACAGTTCAGGACTGGAGGTTTATATCTGCTGCACGGTGTATACGTCGGTGCGAAACTGAGGCTACACTCATAGAGATGCTTTCATCTGCAGTGCACAAAGTTTGCAGCTTTAAGTGTGTGCTTCTGGAAAATACACACATTTTAAATGAAGCTCTTCAGAATATCTACATTTATAAAAGGTGAAGGTGAAGCTAACAGGCAGCTAGCAGAAGCCACAAAGAGGCCACGCCCCTAATAATTAGGGGTGCAATGATGCACAAAATTCACGGTTCGATATTTTTTCGATAGGAAAAATGTTCATGCCTTTTTAATTTGTCATTTATTAAGATTATAAATATATATTTTCACTCAAAAGTACAGTTTTTAAATTTAATGTTGCTGAAACAACAAAATAATAAAAAATAAATCTGATTGAGGAATCCCTCATCTTTGGAAAAGAGAGTTTATTACAGAGAAATGGCTCTTTCAAAATAAAAGCTATACTATACGCTTCTTCTGGGCTATATTCTCAGCAGCATTAAACATATCAGGTCCCCATAAGGAGAATCCTGTGCTAACGGCTGTGTAAATGACTCGGGTAAAGTTTGTAGCATGCTGCTTGTTGTTTTTGTCTTTGCACTAGGATGATGTCGGCGTAAACGTGCAGTCATATTCGTTGTGTTCCCACTAGTGCTGTCAGCGTTAATCTGAAATGACGTTAACGCCACAACACAAATCTCCGTTAACGAGCTACCGCGGAGACCAGTGCATGGGGCTGGACGGCCAACACGTTAACGAGCTAACTGAGCTAACACACTAGTTCCCACCCATGTAATTGAGCATTGCGTGGCACATCCGACATACTGTTTTACTTTAGTCCATGACGCGCTTACCTTCAGGGTCATACGTCACATGAAAACCAAGATAGTTCCAAACGTCAGATCTGAATGAGGGTGGGGGAGGTTCAATTTGCCATGTTGCAACGAGCTTCGCTAGCTTGCTAGCTTGCACTGCGCTCAGTGAATCTGCGTTCGACTACTCCGCCTAGGCTGCACTGTCGAGCACTGAGCGCTCAACACAGACAGCATTGTCAGAAGGAAAGTTGATCAAATAAATGTTGTATTGTTCGATACATATGAGCACCGAACCGAAAGCACTGTATCGAACGGTTCAATATCAATAGGAGTATCGTTGCACCCCTACTAATAATGCAGACTTTAAGCCCTAATAAGCTTTAAACAGGTGAGTTATAAAACCATCCTCCCCCTGTACAGGTGTTATGAAGGAGAAATGACCCACAGAGACCAGTTTGTTTCTGCTGTGAAGTTTTAACATGGGAGTCTATGGGGACTGACTCACTGCTGCCTCTGCTGGACGTTAGAGGTACTGCAGGCTTTGCCACTTTTAATTTTGAGGCTCTAAATATGACACCATCGCGTCAAAAATAATAAGCATAATTCCCTCCTCTGTTAGAGCGTAACAGTCACCAGTGAGACCAGCGCAGCAGTCGCTGAGCGAGCCGAGCTGGAACTCCACATGCATGAACTTATTTTTGGGAGGAACTACATCCAAACTTCAAACACAAACGGTGGAGCTCTCTCTCCCTAAAGAACAGAAAAGAGTGAAGACGAGAGAGGCTTTTGTTGATTGAAGGGTAACGCTGTGGAACACCACGGAGGAACTCTTTCATTTTTCCCACGATTGAAGATGAAAAGTCAGACTTTTGTGGAAGGAGGATTTTTTTTTTTTAAATAACTGTATACTCTCAGAAAAAAATCATCTTAGCAAAAACTAACAAAGTATTTTTAACTAAAGTTATGACTGAAAATCTGATCGCAGTGGTTTGAGCGTCTTGTGTGAGACTCTAATGTAATTTATTTTTACTTTCGAGTGCATCGAGGTTCGTTTAACACTTTGATTTTATCTCAAGAGTTAGAGGTACTCACCGAGGCAGAGGCTGGAAGCGGTCATGAGGCATCACTGCTTTGAATCCATCACTGCAGGAGACAAATGTGATAATGATAACCACACAGCAGCATATCTAACATATATAAACACTGTTAAAATCACTATCAAACACATTCTGTCATATTTGTTTAATCCATCATTAAAGCTCCTTTAATAATAACGCAACACGTCTCTCGAAGCTGGACAGCTCCTGTGACGGTCTGTGAGCTGAGGAGAGCAGCTGCAGGGGGACGATGTCCTGCTCTGGTCTGATGGAGGACTCTAGCTGCTCTGCTTCGTCCTGTTGTTGCTTTCATGATGCTCCAGATGTTCTCAGCTGGTCAAAGGTCTGGGCTGCAGGCGGGCCGGTTCAGCAGCTGGACTCCTCTCCCATGAAGCCGTGCTGCTGATTTAACATCGTCCTGCTCAAACATGAAGGCCTTCCCTGAAAATCTAGATAGATCTGACCTCCGATCAGTTTCCACTTTGCTTCAGTCCATTTTAAAGGAGCTGTTTCAGGCCACATCTGGCTTCTTCCCTGCATGACGGAGCTTTAACCTGCACGTGTGGACGGCAGGCTGAGACACGTCACTGCCATCAAATTCAAAATGAGCTCATATTTGATATGAAATATTAAAATCTGTCAGTTTAAATATTTGATATGTTTTCTGTGTTCTGTTGTGAATAAAATATGTCTTTATGTGATTTGCGAACCATCGCATTGTGTCTTTATTTCCATTTTAGGCAGCGAGCCGACCTTTGATACTAAACTTTCAGGCTGAGGCTCACAGACTCGTGCATCTGTTAGATCATCTGAATGAAGACGTGTGCATGCACTCAACTGGATCTTTCTTCTTTTTTTTCAAAATATGAAAATATTCCTCATTGATGTCAATGAAACCACTATGGGGGACGCTGGTATTTGATCCAGGAAGGCCAATAGCTCCCAGTTTCAACAGCGGAGCTCGCGTGCTGTGGTGTCAGCGTGCCAGATTTAAAAACGTTGACGCTAATCTGTCGGCTACAGTTAACACGCTGCAGCGGAGGAAGGAGACGATGACTATAAACAGGTAAAACAGTGTCATGCCGAAGCTGCGACGCTGCACAGCCACCAGCTGTCCGCACCTCTCCGGGCAGGGGTCCATGTTGCACTCTTTGAGCTTTGGAGTGGGTTTGGTGTTTTCAGGGTAGCTGTTACAGTGGTGCTCGGGCAGCGTCTGGTTGGACCGGATGTCTGTGCACTCGGCAGAGTTCAGCTGGTAGCCTGAGGGAGGGAAGCGACCACGCCGTTACCGCTCTCACACTCTAAAAGTGAATCTAAAAGCATTTTTAATCACGGCGACGGTCAGCTCACCTCCTCCGCACGTGACCGAGCAGGGGAAGAAGTCAGTCTCTCTCCACTGGTATCGAATTGGTTTGTAGAACAGAAACTGGACAACGGTGTCCTTGGAGCCTCCGTACTTTATCTGCACAGCACAACAGAAGAGGGTGGACACAGCGGGCAGAGGGAAGAAGGACAAAGTCAAGCTCTGCATGTTAGAGGAGCCTCCGCTCAGTTTCTCAAACCAAATCTACGCAGTAATTCAGCCATTTTCAAGCATTTAGTCCTAAAAAGATGAACCTGCAAAAATACAGAAAGATTTAAGGCTTTTGAAATTCCCATCATAAAGTGAAGGACTTGATCCTTACAGCGTTCAAACTGTTGCTTTGATAAGACGAGCACTTTCCAGCAGCCCTCCTTTTTTAATATAAAAGGCGCTTGAGTCATTCATCACACACTCTGCAGCTCTGGATAAGATTTAGCTTTGTGCACTGAAAGCATCGACTGCACACCGAGCTTTCAGACAGATGGTAATGTGTCATATTTGTCACCAAAGTAATTGCAATTACAGAGCGTAACTGATAGCAAACCCACTGCGGCTGGGCACCAGTGGGCACAAAGACGAGGAAACAAAAGAGCGGAAGACAAGACTGAATAAGTTTCTGACTGAGCCGAATTAATAAAACAATGCAACACTTTAATCTGCAAAATTCTGCCCTCCAGCCTGCATGAAATAACCATAATCTGCAGCTTGTGCCCACATCGGCGGGCAGACGTTCGTTTCCAGAACGTGAGTCTGACCGAAATACTTCTACGCACCTGAGTAATCGGGTCCAGGCGGGCGAGGATCAGCAGCAGACGGACGGTAGTCAGCGCTCTGATCCCAAAACGAACCGGACAAATCATCCACACGGCAGAGAGGCCACTTTTGTTTCTCTGACGGGATACGATGCAGAAACTGCGTCTGCTCCATTAAACTGTCGTTTATTTCCTGAACAGTAATGACAGCGGCTCCGTGTTAAAGGATAAGAGTGGAGTTTCTCTGCTGTCTGTGTCACTCAGGCAGGTTAGAGCAGCCTTTGGTTGGATGGATTTTCTAGAAACCATCATATTGATTGATGATGGTTTAGCTTTTTTAATTAATCTGCATTTGGAAACTCTGACTTGGAGATTTGGGCTACAAATCACGTCACGTCTCCGATGTCTAAAAACTTTATGGTGCAAAGTTTAAACATGTTCAGCGAGTGAAATTAATACTTCTATTGAATAAGACGACCTACTAATACTTGTGGTACAACTTTTCATATGAAAACAGCATTTTCTTAATTTGTGTGACTAAATATTTCATATTAAAAGGTTTTCAATATGATTTCTTTTACATTATTGTGAAATTCAACTATGTACAGTTCAGAAATTGTCAGTAGCTGTCTTTTGCGAAGTTTTTATGTTTTTACTTTTTCATTAGTCCAAACTTTGGACCATACAGTTTCTATGCGACGGGCCGACGGATGAGCAGGAGCGCACATTGATTCGCGTCAGTGAAACGCATCCATCGAGTTGTTCTGTAGTCTCCAAGCGTTGCTGGAGCTTTAACTTCTTCAGACCCACACTTTCCACGGATGTTTAGAGAAGAAGCGAATAATAATTTTGGATAACTCCAAAATGCTTTTATCTGGTGCAGACAGCCGACTGTCGACGGCCCACTAAGAGCTCGTCTTTTCTACGAGTGGAAAAAAAGGAGGGCTGTGATGCTGGTAGTACAAAGTGGAAAATGCATTTCCACTTAGGCCTCATTGACAGAAATTCTAATAGTGCCGCAGGCAACAAGCTCTCAGTCTCATTAAAACAATGCCTCAAAAGCCAAATATTCGCAGCAGCCTGTTTTATTTATGTTTGCGCTCTTGTATCTGTGATAAAATATGTCAACAGAAGCTCAAAGTCCTCAGGCTGTTTCGCTATGAAGATAGCTTCACCTTGATGATGTAATCAGCGCCGAGTGGGCCGTGCGTCCTGAGTGTCTGCCGGTCGTTCCCCCTCTGAAAGTCCAAGGAGGTGTTTCCTATCACGTAGGAGCCCGTCGACTGCAGACCGGTCTCCTCCTTCCTCCCCTGAAGAGACACGGCTTCAATAACTGGCAGAGAGACAGAGCAGGAGGGAGCGTTATTAAAGCACACGCAGGATTAAATTCATGCTTTAAAAATGCAAATGTCTGAAATGTGACGCGCAACCCGACAAGACTGGGTGTGAAATGTGTTGTTTACTTCCACCGAGAGGAAACAAGTTCTTACCTAATACTGGAGATAAAAACTAGAGATCTGTGTGACTCACCTCGTTAGCTTACAGCGCAGAGAAGATGAGTTTTTGGGAAGCATTACAATCAGAGACATTATGGCAAACCAGGTAACAAAGACACAACAACCAAATCTGTAACAGCTGTGGGGTCTTCTTACTGTACTGCACTGCTGATTTCACAAAGGTACTCAATTCAATTTTATTTATATAGCGCTTAATCAAAACAACAGTCGCCTCAAGGCGCTTTATATTTCACAGTAGTACAATAATACATACAGAGAAAAACCCAACAATCATATGACCCCCTATGAACAACAACTTGGTGACAGTGGGAAGGAAAAACTCCCTTTTAACAGGAAGAAACCTCCAGCAGAACCAGGCTCAGGGAGGGGCGGGGCCATCTGCTGTGATTGGTTGGGGTGAGAGAAGGAAGACAGGATAGAAGAAAAGTATTAAGTTCAGAGTACTCTAAAATGGTGAGTGATGTTAAAGTCCCACATTTTCGGTATCCCCTTTTTCAAAAGCAAAAAGATACAGTAGAAAACATAAACTTTGCATCAGTAGAAGATAAGATAAGACTTTATTGATCCCACAACGGGGAAATTTTTTGCGTCACCTCAGCTCAGGTACAGATATCAGAAGAAAATACAAATAAGTACAATCAGTGAAAGAAAGTAAGATAATACACTATATACAATGGTAGCATACACAGTATGTGATTGTTGGTTGGAAATATGGAAGACATAAACTATATAGCTTGACATAACTATTGTACCACTACTATTCCTATTTATAGACATGTACACACTAAATATACATATGTATACATATACATACATATATACCTGCACATGTCCGTACACATGGACATATTAAGATCCAATATTAAGTCCCGTGTTCTGTCAAGTGTGATAAAATAAAGTTTTCCTCTCAGAGTTTGTTGTTTTACTGTAAACGGTGCTGCTCTGGCTCTGTCTGCAGGTGCAGGTCTGACATCTGTGACTTAGAGACTAAAAAGTTGCTGTACTCCATTCCAACGAGTAAAAATCAGTAGTAATATGAAGTACGCAGGCCTGTTACATTAAAGCACAGAGTTCTCACAAGAGATCCAAGGCTGTCTCCAAAAGGTGCAAACCACCTCTAATTACTCAGAGTTTCCTGTAGCCTCCTCACAGCCGCATCTTCCAGCTCCTCCTTGGGGATCCTTGCACTCTCGAAACCCAGGAAAGAAGAAGCAATTCCACTGGTGTGTCTTCGGGCCTACCGCTGGCGGATGCATCCAAAGAACCTCCAAAGAGAGCCGTATTCAGACTCCAGCAGTGTCTTCATATGATGGGGAAGAAGAGCATCTCTGCTCCTTCTGACTGCTGAACTCTACAAATGAGTCCAGCCTTGGAATAGAATTAGTTTGCCGTTTGTGTGACTTTGGTTGCTATCCACGGCTCATTAACCCGTTTAAACCGATGGGAGTGCCACCATAGCTTGCCCATACTAAGAAATTCCTGCTGTATTTGGTTCATTGTTGGCTAGCTTGTGGAATTGCTATGGGTTTGTCACTCTGGCAACCAAGCACAGACCACCCAAATCCTCATGTGGCTTTTGGATGAATATGTCGGCTGTTGGTCACGCCCCTTTTGTTATCTGGGACAGAAACTGTGCAACAAAAGAAAACGTGTAATCCTAAAGCCAACATGTGGGCCCAACCAGATACATATTCATTAATTCATTAAGGTCAATGAGTTAATGAGCACAGCTGTACCTGAACCTGGCACACTGCTGCACAGCTTCTCTGTAAAAGGACTGGATGCCTCTGTCGGTGCACTCCTGTAGCTGATTGTGCATCATCACTCAGGATGATTCAGCGCCTTAAAAGCCAATGTGCAGGTATAAAAGCCTAGAGCAACTTCACTCTACCTGAAATTGTACAGTGAGCGGTGGGAAGGTGCCTCACTTTCTGGCTGCTCAGGCTAAATTACACAGTCCACCTCTATTCGCCTGCTGGTGCTTGTTGCCTCAGCGCTTGCCTCTTGGAACAAAATACTAAAATCTACTGGCAGATATATGGGCCAGTAATCTTTTCCTGAGTGTTTTCAGAGAGTGTGTTTGTGTTTGGAAGTACACTCTAGTTTTTATGTACTCCCAATAGCTTCCAGTAAGCTTAGAAAGCAACTCTCCATCCGCTGCCAGGACGCTGATGAGTTTCATAGCTTCTTCCTTTGCTGGAAAACCACGACCTTCGCCTCTGGCTTTGGGGCCGTGGATCAATCTGGCCTGTGCTGTCAGAATGAAACAGTTTGAACTCCGTGAAGTCTGAATTCAACAAAGAGCAGATCGTTTGTGCTTTTCTGTAAGACTTGGTTCTCACAAAAGGTTGGTGCAAATCCAATTAATCTGTCAGTCTAAGACAAAGCATCACCATTTTTCATGTTGCGATTATATTTAACCTCTTAACATTCAGCAGGGTCGGACATCTTTGGGCTTTCCTGTTCCAACCGGCCAAAACTTAACATTTACCCAAACCCTGCCTCTGACCTGGACCCCGGATAGATTGCTGGTGATCTGGTGGAGGTAAAGTCTGACTTTTCTAAGATATTCCATGTTTTTTAAAAAAGATCTTAATTATGTTACATGAAAAAATGAAAAATTCGTCAGAGGAAATCGTGGAGTCTTTGGCCCATTATGAAAAGAAGTTGTTCATCTTTTTAAAGTTACCTGGTGTTAAATTCTGTGTTTGATATTATGCTTAGTTACAGAGGAGTAACTCTCTGAACTGTAAATGAGTGTGTTGGACCTGTTTTCTGCTATTGTGGTCTGTCTCTCCTCTAAAATGAGCTCTTGGTAACAGATGAGCAACCTGCCAAAGAAATTCTGGGTTACTCCTCGAACCAGGAGCCTCTGACTCAGCCAGAACATCTTGGAGCTGTTTTAGGATCAGGTTTGTGCTGACGTATCTGCATTCGCCCTCAGACCCTTCACTTTTTTCAATCGACAATAAAATAGAGCAGAAAACCCAAATGATGCAACGAAGCAGTCAGCAGCTCTGAGGATGGGAATCGCAGGGTTTCGGCTGTGCAGGGAAGTTTTTTCTTCACATCTCTGGTTTGTTTTATACCAAGGTGAGCCCAGGTCTGGACTTGGTGCTGAAAGCATGATTTACTGTCCAAACTATCACCACTATTTATCAGGTGACACTGTGGAAACCAACACATCAACACAACACAACGTGGCATGTGAGGAATCTCAAATCAGCTGCTGCTCCTGTTGGACCGACTCTGATTTACATAAATCTTTAGGCCTAAGACAGCTGGGATCGGCTACACCACCCCCACAAACACAACACCGTGACAAGGATGAGAAGAATGGATGGATGCTGGCTAAAAGCTGTCAAAATGACAGATCCTGATTTGTTTAGATGATATGAAAGACGAGTAAGTGTGTCCAGCTTTTATCTTTAATTTTTTTTCAGATATTTTTGTTTCCTCAAATTCGGTCACTGAACCATTTTTCTAAAATTTCACAGCAATCATTTTTGTTACGCAAACTTCAAAAGCATAAAAGTTTAAAACTAAAAACGAGCAAATCTGAGACGGTGGAGGAAATGTTGTAAAAATGAGCTGATTTTAGATGGAGTGACTCATTTGTCTCAACACAACATTTGTAAAAAGTGCTGTGCTACAGTTTCAGTGTTGTGTTTCATGTTGGTTACTGGGACTCTCATGTTGTACTAGTTGTCATTATTATTGTTGCAGATGTGTTATATTAGCAGCTTTGTGCATGTGTGTTGGGAACAGTGGTGGTGACTGGGAAGGGCAGATCCCCAGTTTACCCTTGTTGCTTCACATAAATACCCAGAGATTAAATGTAGTTCTGGTTCATTTCATATTTACACTGAATCACTGCATTTACAGACATTTACATTTGGACCAACAGCGAGTCTTCAATATGCCTGATGCACGTTGGTCGTCTCAAAGGAAACAACAACAAAGACCATTTACCATAAAAGCGAAACAGCACAGATCTGCCATAAAACCAGTTCACGCACGTTTGGTTGTACTTGGAGTTCATCAGGGCTCTGATTGCGTTCAAACTCTTGGCCATACGATGACGACCACCAACGTAAGAACTGGATGTTAAGTCTTTGTGCTCGATGTCTCGTTTGTCTTGTAAGTCAGGTTTGTAAACTCAAGCATATTTCTCCCTGGTTCAGCTTCTTTTTGAGGAAATGCATCACTACAAACCACATTAGATGGTTCACTCTATTTAAAGGTCTCCGTATGGTCCTGTGTTGGTGGTCCTTAGGTGCTACACAGGACTTTCCATACTCAGGCCTACAAGTTGTAGCAGCGTCCCATTACACTGGTCAACAAGCATTGTGCTACTGGGACTCCTTCGCCTGCACTTTGATAGATTTCACCTGCTAACTCCAGATCTGAAAGCCATTTTCATCGAACACGTACAGGTTTTCCAGAATTTTCTTGTCAGCCACAGAGAATTTTGCCGAGCTTGTGAATAACATGCTGAAAGCAGGAAATAGTCCCACAACATCACTGAAGATGCCCGCTTTACGTTCTCATAGCAACTTCTTTCCAACAAATCTGAAAATGTCGGCGATGAGCACGGGGAAAGATTTCCACGAGATATAAAAGTGACGGAAACCAACATCAGGGAAAATTTAATCAGAGGCAGCTACTGTTGTTTCTCGCAAAGAGACACGAACGTGCAGAACAAGTGCAAAAGCAAACAGTTTTGAGCACGACGACATCTTTTTATTTGAGCCAAGCTGACAGAAATATGTGTTAACGAGTCTCTGGTGTTGGTAAAAAACCTGATGAAGAGCTAAGGAGGAGCCAAGTCGAGAATCTTCAGAATAAACGGTGAGCTATTCTCGCTCACGTTTGTGTGGTCGATTGTCCTTCAGCTGAGCTTCTGCCGCTGTGAGAGAGGTCATTATATTAAAACAGCGTTTAAAAATGCAAACTGAACCCAATCATGTTCTCATAAATCATCACATGTAAACCAGCAACTTGGTATTCAGAGCACATTTTAATAAACACCCTGTTGTGAGACGATTACACGGCGATCATAAAGTCACGCCTGCATGTAGCAATAAACACAGATTTGATTAACTGATCCTTCTTCATATTCAGTCCACAGACCGGCACGAGACAAATAATCCTCTCACCATAAATGTGTTCCTTACAGAGAAACTGAATTCACCCAGAAATCGTCTGTAACATTATTATGTTAAGTTCTTAAGAGATCAAAGCGCGAATGTGCGTAAAAACCTGGTGTGAAAAACACGAGTTTCATAGGACACACTGTCAAACTGAGCATCAGCTTTGCTTTGTTCAGCTTTTGGAACAAAGTAGACTCACCGATCATATCGGGGCCTTTGGCGTTGAGTCTGAGAAAGCGACTTCCCATCGGGACCTCCAGCACCGTCTTCAGAGCTGCAGGTGGAAAAAAGATCAGAAAGGTTTCGGTTAAACTGACAACAACAGTCACTGAGCAGAGAGGCGGACACATCCAAACACCTGCAGAGGAAACGTTTTGTCTTTGTCTGCCTTCTCATGTTTTGGGTTTTATGTTTTTTACCGTAAAAGTAGTCCAGCCTCGCTTGAAAACTTCTCACATACTGACACTTGATGAGCATCAGACTGGATCCCCTTCAGCATCTTTTTTCAGGAACGAGTCTGCTACAGTCCGACAGGACTCGCTCAACACTGACAATATCTGATCAAAACTTTAGAGAATCCTGGAGGCAGAGCATCAGGTGAGGAGCTTCATGCATTCATGTTGGAAATGTTTGGGGAAGTGGAACGACCATTCAGAGGAACGACACGAACTGCTGGACCACCGTGTGCTGGCACAGAGCATCGTCGCTCAGTCTTGGACCATTCGCCAGATGTGCCTCCCTGTGAATTCTTCCAGATCCTGAAAATCAAGTTGAAGGATCACCAACACAATTCTGCAGCCACACCAAGGAAAACTGGTTGGAAAACGCAGCAACACCAAAGTTACTGCAACCGTGTTGTCTTTGAAATGGTTGCTTTGAAGAAGGGGACCAGGCCTGTGACCTGTGCCCAGTGGTGGTGATCTTTAAAATGTCTTTGCATCAAGACGGCAACAAAACAGCAATAAGAGAGAGTCAGCCTGCTATTAGTCACCGACTGAATGGGATCAAGTTGGCTATCGTATGCAATCCTGTAATAATACAGCAATGTTTCTTTTTCTGTAACAGATCTCAGTTAATCAGAAACACAAACTCCTCCACAAAGTTGCTGCAGGACGGTGATTTAACTGCAAAATGACACGAGCCCTCAGGGACATTGCTTTTACGCAGGCATATAGGCAGAATACAATCAGTTCTGTTACGTCCACTACTGGAGGAGATGCTTTGTAGACGAGTTGTGGTCATCAGTGCAGACTGCCTCAGTTCACAACCACCAGGCCGGGTCCTGTTCCTTGGTTGATCTGATATCCTCGTGTTGATGTTGTTCCCACATCATCTTAATAAATGTTGTTCCAGGTTCAACATTGCAAGTGACCAATCACATTGTTGTGACGTCATACTTTTGCAAGCCAAGCGAATCATTCATTTATGAAATTCCAGTGTTGCAAGAACAATATGCATAATGCTTACCGTTTATTAAAGAACAGTGTCCTGAAATGCAAAGAATTCAAATTGCTGGATCGGCGGACAGAGGCGGCTTCTCGCAAGTTAAGTAGTTTTTTCTTTTTACGACGCTTTTTTCCGAAGTCGCAAAAGTATGACATCACAACAATGTGATTGGTCACTTGCAATGTTGAACCTGGAACAACATTTATAATGATGATGTGGGAACAACACCGACACGGGGCTATCAGATCGTGCTCTGTTCCTAGTCTTGTGCGTTCACTCATGTCCCAGGTTAAAAGAATACAACCATACCAACCACCACCTTGTGGGAGAAGTTTGAAAGATGTTTGACATGTAGGTTTTTCTTTAAATCAAACCATAAAGTTTTTGCTAATCATAACCATATTCAAAGTGTGTTTGCCTCTGAAGAGTCACAACATCCATCCATGTGTTAAAAGTGACATGAAATGAGAGACTTAAAAAAACAAAGAAAAAGTGTTGGAGGTCTGAAAAGCCTCCACACTGCTGACCCTTTCCTGTTAGCTTCCTCCATCCTCTTTAACCGGTGCAGAGGTGCTGAAAGGTGGAGCAGAAACCACTGAACAATATAGAACTGAATTGCACAGATTGGCCTTGATTGGCCTATTGTCACCGAGACCCGATCCAGCTTTCTCAGACAGGATCACATATTCATTCACATACTGGACCAGACATCACTGGTAAGAAGGGAGTACAAATAGAGAATAATAGAGTATTTCTTCAGCCACCATGATTATGCATGTAATAATTATTTTTTACTCTTTTCTACATCTACTCAAAAAAAAGACGCGGGGAGGTAAGATATGAAAGTGTGGATTTGTAAATCTGTTAAACCGTAAAACAGCAGAAGGACATTTTATACTCAAACATCCTTAAAGGCAGCGCCAGACGGGATTCGTTGAAAGACCACAGGTGCTGACACTCGAGCTCAACAGCAGACGCCGGACTTCAGAGCGGGGTGTGATGATGGAGAGAGTGGACAACATCTGAAGGAGCTGTCTGAATCCCATCAGGCTGGAGAGGCAGCAGCGTGTAACGTTCATTATTCTTCCAACAGAGTGGAGTAAATGTCCCTGACTCGTCTCTCGCCTGTCAGCGTCCAATAAAGCCACAACACCTTCATTAGAGCCAAATCTTCAGCACAGAGCTTCCTTAAAAAAGGTGGAAATCTGTGGATTTGAAGGTTCACTCGTGTTCCAATCTTGCTGAGTCGACGCTCACGCTGCATCTCGTTATCCTGCTCATGAATTTGCTTGGTAAGAAGTTAACATCAGCAGCAGCCAAAGGTGCACCTCGTCCTGCAAAACAGCTGCTGGTGCAGCTGCCAGCACAATCCAGATATCATTACTTTACAGTTAAAGATTTGGGGCAGCAGATATTATCTATGTGGGTGGTGGCTGGGTGGTGGTGGTGGTCACAAGGGGGCATTTAAACCTCTTCAACATCTTGCCAGATTGTGTCCTGGATGTTAATCAGTGTAGGTGTTACCTTGTTAAGCCGCCCCAAGGTGAAAATGAAAGTCCATTAATGGAGCTTGTTTAGCAGCATTAATTGGCAGCTCTCAGTTATTACACGCGTTAGCTGGACTAAGGAGAAACTCGCCTTCAGCTCCCTGTTTGTGGTGAAGGCTGACGTGAGGAGACCACCACACCGCAGCGCTGTCCTGCCTGCTGCTTTACAGCTGCACAGAAGCAGCGATCTCCTCCGCGGCTCTAAATAACGTCCACGTGTGTGCTGTTAAATGTCACCTCGCTAACTAGTCAGTCACGCGCCTCTCCTGTGCAGGTCGCAGCGTGCAGGAACAACGAAATACTGAAAGCATTCGCTGCTGTGAAACACTTTGTGAGTTTTCATGGTAGACGAGTTTGTCCCACGGCGGGTAAGCGAGGAGGCGTGGGCACGAGGCGACACCTCCACAGACAAACGCAGACTTAATTCCATTTTCTATATTTTATAAACGTCAGTTTCTCCTCCAGCGACAAACGAGAGCCGAGCTCAATTAACACGCTGTGGCTGTGAGCCGCTGGGCTTTACCCCAAACATAATTATTCTTGGAAAACTGCATCTGCCTTTAAATTTATGGAAGCTATGAAATAAATTCAGCTGCAGCCATTTGCAGTTTTTTCCCCTTGAACTCTAAAATAGAGATTAAACATAAAGCCAGGTTGTTTTTATGTTTTTTAAGCAACCTTGGAAATAAATTATGAAATGAAACATAGATAAACAGCTCATTTCACACGAGGCCGTCGACTCTGTGAACCGAGGCTTTAGGGAATACTGCTGCAAATTCATATTCCAAATGCAATGACTGATAAACAGCGGGGTCATGAATAATGTATGAGGAGGAACAAAGGTGATACTCGCGCGTCTGTAAATAAACTCGCTCTCACTAAGGTAGGCCTAAATGTGCGTGATTGGTTAACCTTATCGGCTCTCTTCTTCTGGGACATTAGAGCCGAGGGCAGGAGAGAAAGCACGGGAGACGGAAACTTACGAACTGGATGGAAAACAAATGAGTCTGACAGGTAGAGTCCTTCCAGCCGGAAACTTTGATTGTTGTGTAAGAAGGCTTTACAGGTTCCCCACTGGCCTGGGATAAAATGAGCGCCGAGCCAGTGTCAGAGACACAGAGCACGTATTCACGGGACCTGAAGTCAGACGTACTCGTGCAGTCGCTTATGATGTGAAACCCAGAAAAGGTGTCCTGGAACCACAAACACACCTGGTGTTTATTCTAAGACAGGTCACATGATAGCTGACGAATTCTTGGATGGAGCGATAATATATCACATGAAAAATGCTCCAAAAGCCTCCAACAGCACCTGCACCTGCACCTGTCAGTCAAAGAGGCCCCGCCCCTAATAAGCCTTAGCCTTCATAACACACCGCACACGCGTTATGAAGGAGAAATGACCCACAGACACCAAACAGTTCGTCTCAGGCTGTAAACGTTTATTTCTGCTGTAAAGTTTTAACGTGGGAGTCTATGGGGACTGACTCACTGCTGCCCCTGCTGGACGTTACAGGAACTGCAGGTTTGGGAGCTTCATTTTTTAGCCGCGGGCCAATGAAATATAGATTTTTAATATTTTCATATTCACTTTATGCCAGATGTTTCCAACATTCGTCAAACCAAAACCAGTGATTTTATTTAATGCTGTGTTTGTGTGTAAATCTTGTATAAACAAGGTGTTTTGAGTTTTCCTAAATGCAGTTGACGTTCGGTGCTGCAAATTACTTCATCATAATAACAAGTTCATGGTTTTAAATTTGACCCTCCTGCACATAAACTGTATACCTGTCTGTGAAACCTGAATCCAAAAAGAAAAACATGAGACTTCATGAAGAACAGATGCTTTATGATTTTAATCATCCGTCTGTCGTGCCTTATCCGCACATGCTTTTGCTAATAGAGTTTAGAACCATAGGTATTGATTCGTAACGGTAATACAGCCACGTTCAGCAAACATCCGCAGTGCCGAAGGATAAAGAGTCACTGTAAAACATAATGTGTATCCAGTTAAATTCAACCTAAAACAGCCAAATTATGCTGAATGAACATACTCCTGCTACAGAAGAGTACTGGCAGATATCCCCGAGTTTAAATCCACACTTTCACAGTTTAACAACCTTTGCTGCCTCTCTGGTTAAAAATATTTCAGGGCTATTTCGTTTTATCCATAAAACATGCCGTCCATGATGAAGGTTAATAATGAATTCAATACGTTTGCAGAAATTATTATTTTAAAAGTGGAGCACGCTCACATGTTTGTACCGACTCTGGGTTTAGCA